CAAAAACCCATTTTGCATTTAAACCCTCAACCTACTAAGATCTTATCTTGATTAGTTTGTATTATAGGGAAAAGACCAGCATAGCTGCCAGTTAATACAAACTAGGATGGCACGAAAATATAATTTAATGATGCAGATGGTATTTTCTGGAAGAGGGATAAAAGACACTTTAATTATTTAAACACAAATTTATAACAACTAGTTAAAGAGCACTGAAAAAAATGATTCTTTAGATAACCGTGTTAAGATTTTATTTGGTGATTCTTATGATATGCTATCCTGTTCATTTAAAACTGAGCTCCACTACAACATGAAAAGCAGTACCCAACAGAAAATCACAATGAAGTCCCCTGTAATCACTTTGATATCTGCCAATTTAAACACAATCCAAGTCATTTCATGCAGCCCTGCACTACTCTTGAAAGAACAAATAAAGAAAAACATTTCACTCACAACGTAGAGGCAAAAACCCTAGTGAGGTGCAAGATGATTTCCAGGAGGTGCTCAGTCCATTACTGTTTAACTGTAACATGTCTGTGTCCAGTGTTAAAACATCTGGCACAACACCAATGAGAGAACATGCATCTACGAATATTCCCCTCTCTGAATGTTAAAATCTTGTAGCCTGATCTCCTCTAATCTCAGAAATTTAACAAACGTAGGCCTGGTTATTACTGGGAAGGAACACCTCCACAGAAATCCAATTTACTGCCCTAAGTGGTGTTGGTTTCTCACCACAGAGCACAATTTTCAATCCAAATCTCAGTATGTCAGACAAGAGACTATGCTATAATGCTGTCCTTTGGATGAGACATTATACCACAGCGCTGACTACGTTGTCATTAAAAATCCCACGACACTGTTGTTAAATGCAGGGGTGTTACTACTTTGTCCTACTTAAATTTCACTTTGAAATTGCATGATCCAGACTTCCCCCTTAATTCGACTGGTGTGGTAACTGGCTTCTCCACCTGCTCTGATGTGTAGTGGGGCTGCGAGTGCATCACAGCTCCTATAGGTGGGTTCCCTGATTTGTGTAAAAGAGTACTAAGAACTGTCATGAAAGACACTGAACAAATGCAATGAATTTCCATTATAAAATGGCTGCAAGAACAGCATTACAAAATGAACATGTTCCCCCTTTACAGTATATTTAGGCTTTTACTACAGAAAACAGACTTCAGCAGGCACTTTTAAAGCCATTAAGAAAATTTTAAAGCTGAAGTAACTTACGTATAACGTGATTGCTTAAATATCTGTAGAATTGCATAATAGCAACCTTTGCTAAAAAAATAGTAGACAGATACAGTATGTAATTTTATAAGATGGAAAAATTATGCACTATAAATTGTCTATTTTTACATCAGGAAGGAGATTCATGACTAATATATTTACCTAAATATCATAGTAGTTCAACATCTTAAACCTAAGACGACATTTTTAAATTCAAGGCACATCTTAAATTGTATTAAGTTAAGTAGCACAGAAGAGACAAGTTAGCTGCAAAATACTGCACATATCATCTAAGTTTAAAAATAAACTGCTTGGCTGGTTATAGGTGCTACAAGAATTAGCATGCTTTCTGTAAATTAAGCAAGTGCAAACTACTTAATAAAATAAGCCTTTGTCACCACTGAGAATGAGTAACACTAGAGAAAGGACAAGTACAGACACATGGAAATGTTTAGTGTGATTGTCACACTATTTCAACTATGATTTCCGATAGTGAAATAGGCAGATTATGACTGACTGTTCAAATCTCACAGGAGTGACATACAGCCGGTGTAAATCATACTGAAAGAAACATTAAAGTGCCAATGAGTCACCACTGTGCCTGTCGAAAAATGCCTTAAGGCTAATTATTAGAATGGGGTAGACAAAATACAATGTTCAGGGAAAAGCTTATACTAAAAACCCTAAAATATAAATACTAGAGTATTTAGTAAAAATTCTAAACAGTTTATACTAAAAAAGGCAATATCCAAACATGCCTGGGATTTCACTTAGGCAGCCTGTTAGCACCTTATATACTTGGAACCCTAGTAAGCCCGAGTTGCACACTGAAGTGCCAAGAGCACACTGAAGTAAAATGTGTAGTGTGAAATAATCCAGGACCCTGGATCATTTCCAATGTGACAATTTATTTTCATATATATGTGCAATGTAACAATCATCCGAGATGATTTGCTTAATTTATTTAAATAGCCAGATTCCCACAATCAGTCAGCAATGATTTTTCAGGATGGGTTAGCTCACTTACAGAAAACTAACCACGCTTTGCCAAAGACCCTACCCAGTTAGATAAAACTGTCAATATACAGCTTTCTTCTGGGAAGGAAAAGAGGCAACTGTACTAAGTTTAAGTCTATGAAAATCATCTGTATTATTCAGCCTTATTTTTTAATGGTTGCAATGAAAAGTATTAGATCCTTAAATGAGTTGCAAAAACCTGTCAGCTTCTGGCTCTACTGCTTAACAGATCTTTCAGCCAAAACATAGGTTCAGAAAAGTAATTGTAAACCACGCTAAACTGAAACATTTGCTTATTCCAAGAGGGTATATACCAGCACAGCATGAGTGAGCCCTGTGGTTTTGAGGTGTATTTTCACAGGTAAATACATCTGATGTTGCAGTTCAGGTGTGCTTTTTTAATCTAGATGCTGCACTATTCTAATCAGATCAATATATTAACATTTATATTGTTGGTACTAAAGCTTATTTCAGAGCTCAGATTATAATGTTGGATCAAAAGATTGTTAAAACTCTGCAGATAATTTTACTGCAGTAACCGACATATTTCTGCTTCTGTTTTCCTTTCCACGGAAGTATTTGCCTGTTTCTAAAACCTACTTTGAGTGAATGTGGGCCATTCAGAAACTGTGATAAACTTTTAGAATACCATTTATCCTCTTTACTTGTAGGTTAATTTTAAGACTTTCAATATTGCTTATGGATTCTGTGATCCAATTTCCCAGAAAAACAGGCAGCCAGTCCTTTTAAGTTTTTGAAAAAGAAAGTTCAGGCACAGGAGGAGTTTGCACAGAATCCAAAGATTTGAGCAGATTTGAGGCCCCCTGTCTCATGAGCTCAGATGGATTAGGCTGTTTTATTACTGGAGTGAAAATGTAAAAAATTCCACCGGAAGAGCAGTAGTTCATCCTTTTCATATACATGTACTGATCCAATTACTTGTTCCCCCCCCACAACTAATAAGGATGGAGTCTTCATGGATTAACCCCACTGTCCTCTTACACATGGGCAGAAACAGTGCACAAGAGCTCCCTCACTTTGATTTAGAGTTTATCCCTCAGCTGAGTAGCAAAAAGCGTATCTGACGGGTAAAATCCAAGGTGACTTCAGCTGTCTCCCTATCAAAGTCCATTCTTCCACTCAGATTGTGAACATTCCCTGGGGCTCTGGAGTGCTTACCACCTCTTGTGTTTGATCAGTGCTCATAGCCGCAGCCAGTCTCTGCCCACTCGACTCAGAAACAGTCCCGGAAAGCAGGGCTCAGATTAGAGTAGGAAACCACATAGGCTGGGACTTGACTCGGTAACGCAACTAAGGCAGACCTTGAAGAAACATTGAAAATGTATTCGAAAATGTCAAAGGCTCGATTCCGAGAAGCAAAAGCATCCAGGTCTCTTTCCTGAAATATTAACTTTGCATGCCTAGTCTGGAAATCGTGGTGCTTAACTGAAATTCTTTTGAGTGGTGTGAGTTACAAAACAATATTTTTAAAGCAAAAATATCCCCACTATTAGGTACACAAGCCTAAAGAGCTTCTCTATACGCCTGGCTCAGAAGCTCTCATTGGCCGTCACACCTTGAACATTATTCAAATTACTGTAATTCAAGTTAACTTAAATTACACTATCTGCAGCTGAAATGAAAAGTGCCAGTAACCACATTTATATCTGGAATGGAAATACTGTAACAAACAGCACAAATTGTTTTACTACAAGTAGGACATTACAGGAAAATATGCTGCAGTTCTGCAGTTCAGCAACTGCCTAAGAATGTCTGAAAATATACTTTAGGATTTAAATAGGGCATTTTAAGATGGTGTCTGCAACAATTAAAGCTTCGCAGGGACGCCTGAAGGACAGTGAAGTGTTTTTTCACAGTCACTTCTTCATGACTCAGACACATTCCACAGACTGCAGCTAATTACCAAGAGGGCACACACAATACTCAAACACAGCAACCTCTGGCTCAGGACATAAAAAATGTCACAAACGAGAGGAGGCTCTTCAGCCCCTCGACCCCAATGGGTAGTTAGTAGTTTAAACAGTTCTGGAACTTTCAGATGTTTTCTAGAATTTTCTTCATTGGTTTTCCCCCACTTTTGAACCCAAGAGCGATGCAAGATGTACCTATTCCAAACAGCTGTCTCTCTCTTCCCAGGAGTGTGTCAACACCAAGATAAGAGACGCACAGAAATGAGTATTAAAATGGCAGTGCATGCAATGCCAAATGCAACAGTTTGAAAAGCTTAACCCCTGTCTTTCAATCTTTTGCTTTTAGGGCAATTTAGACAACATTCCCATATAAGGCCCATGCAGTGTATAAAGCCATATATGAAAGAAAAAAAATGTGAAGATAACTTTGAAATACTTTCCCTAAATTTCATTTTTGTCTAAAAACACAACCATGCCATCAAACATCCTCTACGCTTTCTAAGAATCCTAACCCTAGCTAAGGGTTTGGGTATGTTAGGGTTAGGGTTCAGATTTTCTTCAAATAATTAATACAACCTTCCACTCATTTGAGAGGAAAATATAACTCAGGGCATCAAAACATGAGTTTGAAAACACTAAGCAACCTTGCCAAACCAAAGAAAATGTATCAACTACGGAACAATTTTATTTTTGGACGAGTATTCTATAATTGAAAACTGATAATTTCGTTCTCATGAGCATGGTTTCAGGGTTAAGCAACGAATCATCTGAAACGCCTGGGCTTGACAGTGAAGAGGGGAGGCAGAGGACATACGTCACCTGGTGAAGAAGCTGGCCAGGGGCCCCAGTTTCCTTTGCCGGGGCTCCTCCTGGGGAGGAAATCCCTGCTGGCAATGAGGGCTGCCGCTGCCGAGGTCCTGCGGAGAGGAGAGGGTGACGTCGGTGAAGTTGGCCTCGTCCGTCTCCAGGTTCACGATGGCACTCGAGTCGCTGGTGACCATGAAGTCCAGGATGTCCTCGTTGCTGACAGACAGCGTGGTGGACATCTCCGTGCTGAGGCTGGAGACGCTGCACACGGAGATGTCGTCACTCCTGTTGAGGGCCCGGGAAGACGGGCTGAAGAGCTTCACCGTGTCGTAGCCGCTGCGCGGGAACGTGGAGGACTTCTTCATGCTGCTCTCCGATTCCAGGTTCAGTGTAGCTGGGCCCTGGGATTCCACCGGCATTATGCCGGAACCTAGCAACACTGGATCGTACACGAACCCGCCATTGCTGTGGTTTGGTTTAGCGTTCACTCCGCTGCAGTGTATGGGCTCTGGGTTACTGATTTCCAGCGTGGGAATACCTGAATCCTGGGAAGCAAGGCTCTGCCTATCTTCCTCCCTGTGTCCAGTAAAGTGCAAATTGGGTTTGTAACTCGGAAGGGAGTGAGAACACGGCATCCTTGCTTTGCAGTTTTCATGGTCCTGAATATCAGAACCAGCTGGGACTATAGCCTGTACACCCATTTCAGTGGGACAGTTGTTTGTGCCATTGCTGCCGTCCATTACAGCTGTGCCAGAGAGACCTGGAATACACAAAAAAAATCACAAGTTACACAACCTTAGAAAAAACACAAAGATTCCCTCGTGATTAGAAAGAGCTAAAGTCGGTGCAAGACTGAAATCTTGCTGGGAAGCAAGAAGAAAAAAAAACACTGAATGAAACACGTTTTCAAACCGTGCTGGAATTGCACGGCGCCAATTAAATTGAACTGGGCTAATAATATTGAAATAATGTTATCCGGCCAATTAATAGCACAGATCACATTAACTGAACCTTTACAAATGAACGGTCATGAGTTGTCAGAAGTCAACCCCATTACAAGTGTCGGGTAGGGCTGCAATGAGTCAGCTTGGACTTCAGGACTTCTTTTTCCAGACATCAGCGGGCTTTCACTAACACCGTTACTCTCCTCTCCTGCAACTGGCACTGACTCTCCCGTCACTGAAAAGCTCCTGGCACTTCTACAGACGAATGACCGGCAGAAAGCAGGACGGAGCAGCCAGTCCGCGCTTCCTCATTTTGCCCTTGATCACAGCTCAGGTTTTAACTGAAAGCCTGCAGTAATAACTCACAAATTACTCTGGTAACAAAGCTCCTTTATAACCAAGGGCGTCCTGGAGGCCTTAGTTGTAAAAACAAAAAATCCTAATGACTGAACAATGCTATGTTTTGTGAATCACTCTGGACTTTTAAATGTAAAAGCAGTCAGATGAGTGAAAGTGAGTTTCGTTTATATTCTCAGTTGTCAAACAGCACAGGACTTTGGCATCTCCTTCCACCTGCTCCTGTTTGACTGGCTCGTGCTGGCGACTTGCATTCAGTGAATGAAAGCCCCCCCCTTCGGCCCAGCAAAAGGGCCTTCAAATGGAAGAGATCATAACGTGGAGTAGGGATCATAAACGAAGTCTGTATCTTCAGATGTGATAAAGGAAATCAGGCGTGTTGAGGCAGGCAAGACGAAACTCTGTGAAAGAGTCAGTCATTAGCGCTTGCGCAGTTGGCCTTCCACACCACTTTAAATCAAGCCAAGAAAGTGACAGGATCGGTTCCATCTACAACCGTGTAGACCGCTTTTAAGTGAACATGTAAAAGGAATCTGAAAAGCAGCTGCGTATGCAACACTGCAGATCACACAATTGAAAACATGCACTGCATTCCCTAGGGATAGCTCTGCTCACTAAGGGCTATAAAAAGAAAAAGAACAAGAACATGCTAAATTTTGTTTTAGAGAAACACAATAGCTACATTGAGCTTCTAATCTAATATGAAGCCACATATACCTCTCATTATGGCAAGTACTGGAGCCCATCCCCATTCACCCTGGTAAAGTCCCCTTTTGGCAACAGCTGTCCTGACAAAATGTTTTGCTAGAACCCAGCTACTTTAAAGTGATATCACTGTAAACCTTTATTTGGTGCGATTCAAAAACTCTTGATTTTCTTTCCCATTCTGCCAGCCACACAATTGGCAATGAACTTTCTGAAGCTGCCGAAGGAAACAGTCATTAACCAGAGAGGCGATGCTGCCAAGAAAACATCAGATAAAAGAATCACTGATTTATTTCAGGTGAAAGCTCAGGGACAGAACCCTGCAGCTTATTCCCAGCACATTTTCCAGAAAGCTAAAGCTGACTCACAACTTAAGTGACAGACCACTGTTTCCTGTATTCATGCCAATTAATTTTGTCAAGATTGGATTATTTTTCCCCAAATCTAGCATTTGAAACTTCACCTTACAAAATCAAAAAGTGCTGCAGTACAACACACACTTACAGCACGGATCCCAAATATGCACATATACCTTTTATGTACTATGCATATCATTTCAGGTTAAGATTGTGTATGGAACAGATATTCCTAGGTCTGCAAAACTAACTGTTGACAGGAATAAAGTTGATGTCTTGTAGTTGCAGGGCCAGGTACTGGATAGTTAAAAGAATAGACTTTTCTTGCATGTAGCCTAAATAACATTAGCTCTAACTCAAAACATAAATGGATGTAAAATTCTTCCTTGCGAGTTGTGACTATTACACTGTTCTTCTATTAAGGGGTTCTTGAAGAAAGCTCTTGAAATAACCTCCTGAGGAACCTCAGTATGCCCTAAGTGAAATGTGCTTGCATCCTGCAGTTTTTATTTCCTATTTCATCATTCGGAAAAACAGAAGGAGTTCTGTTCCGGACATGTTAAGAAAGCCCAGGATAATTCAGAGAAAATGATTCAAAGGCCATTTGATGACGTTATAGAACAGTAAACTATTTCATTTATATTTTTATTTTGAAAAATGATAATTGGGGTACTCTCCACATCTGAATGCCTCCTTCCTTGAGGTTTCCATTTTCCGAGTTAAATTTTTCTTGTTGTAAGCCTATAATTCAAGTGAAACTATCACAAATAAACTTAAGACCTTACTGTATGAAGCAAAATGGGAACATGAATTATTTGCTTTTGTAAACCTGATCACACGGCCTTTAAGATCCAGCATTTGCATGTTGCTTTTACTTTGTTCTGTTATTAATGATGCAGTAACATGCAAATGAATCTGTCTCCAGCAGCTATCATGTGTATCCTAACTGTGCCAATCATAACACCAGTTTTGCTGAAAAACTCTTTTCATGCTTAAGAGGAGATGACACTTGAAAGTAATTTAACCATGTTCAATACCCAAGTAGCATTTTCACGTTCAACAGTTGAACAATTTGCCTTCATGATAAAAAAAGTGCCTGAAATTCTAATAAAAAATATCCTACAAGGCCTAGATAAAATTCAACAATACACTCTGACAGACTTAACTTTTAGTGACAGAAATACTGGTGATAACTCATCAAAAAACAAAGCAGCTGTGATGTTTGTTTTGCTGCAGGAGCTGAGATTCCAACATTCACTAACAGAAGCCATTCTGTTTAAATGAAGAATGTAGTTTGTGGAACACGTGGAGAGATCTGGCATGAGGTAGTTCTGGAAGACATTTGGGGAACTGGGTCTTGAGGAACTGTATTGGAAAAAGGTCCCACAAAAATGCCATCTGTTAAGTTCATTTACTATGACAATCTGGAGACCACAGAATCCGGCAAACACAGAAGGGAATTTGCTCAAGTGAAAAGCAGCAGCTCCTCTAGGGATCTGAAGCCAGACCCCACAGGCATGGCGCAGAGCCCTAACTGCTGCTCCCTTAATGACCCCAAGATTGACAGGCTGATGACCGTTTTGCAATATTCAATAGACTAACGGCTCCTCACCTACACATACAGGAAATGGGCACAGCAGAAAAAAAAAAAGTAGAAAGTAAGAGTGTTAATTAAAAATAGAACTGGAAACTTACATAGATCAACTGACCATAAAATAAAAACAGGTGTTAAACATCAGAAGGTCTTTTAAGTTTTGGGTTTTCCAACAAATTACACATTTTGTGTTCAGAGCAATGAAGTATGGACACTGAAGGACTCCAAAAAGTAATTATCTGATCCATCAGTATCAATAACTCCTCGAGGTGCACGAGCCCAACTGTATGCCTAAGAACATGTGGAGGTTCTCTCCCTAATTACGCACAAGAAAATAAAGAACAAAGAGCACCGGGGGAAGTGAAACCCTTAAGCAATAGATTCATGCAACTGTTAGCCTCTGGCTGAAGGCCCCGTTTAAACAAGAAGGGTGGGTGAAGCTCATGTGATTTCAGGCTTCGCACTGAGGAAGGAAATGACAGCTGGTCCCAAACAGCAGGCTGTCATTACGATATCAACAAAGGGGTGGCACTTAAAATAGGATCTATGGTCGTGACAAAACAGCAGTTTTGTGCAGGGACTAATCTTTGCAACACACAGGATACAGATAAGACTGTATTACATGGAGCAGCCCTGAAGTGAAGATAACGTGACAACACCAAGTACGAAACGTGGAAGACACGGCATCATCTGCTAGCTAGCACAGATGCTCATTCAGAAAGCTGATATCTATATCCGAGGCATAGATGCGTGAACAAAAAAAAAAAACAATTTCATTACGCAAACTCTTTTTATTAAGGCAGAGCTCAGCACCAAGCGCCCGAGACAAATATCACACTTCAAACTATTAATTTCCTTAAGCCCCGCAGCTCACACAGTTTCATAACATGCCATCGATCGCTTCTTCTAAGAGCTGTGCCAAACTACTCCTGTAGGCTGTCGCCTTGGGAACCCAATATCAAAATTACAGGCTGCTAACACTTATACTTAATAAAAAGAATTGCAACAATGTTAATGGTACAACCAGGAACATGAAATGTGAAAGCGTGATCATTCTCCAACTAGAAAAAAAAACATTAGGCCCAAGTTTTCATATAAACAAGTTGGAAGCATGAAAAAATATATATATATACCAAGAATGCAGTGGTGCTTTCTCCGTAATGAAACATTAAACAATCGCACCCCAGGGTGTGCACCACTGCGTTGTGCCTCTTTTTGTGGATTAGACAGTACACTGCAAAAACACACTGACGCTTAAGCATTGACACAAGCCACAATAGGAGCAGATGAGGAAAGAAACTGAATACCACATGAAGAACAATCTAATATAATCTTGCCCAGAAGGGTTACCTTGCTCATCAAATCATCCATCAGTGGAACAATGTTACCAATGTTGTGAGGGAATGCAATACTGAGGATAATTTGGCAAGCATAATTTCCTGTAGCTCAAAAGTACACTGTCTAGGGGTTTAACCCCTTTTCCTGTAGGGATACAATGTTGAAAACCCATTCTGGCAGGCTTTCAATAATTTAGAACACAGTCATGAAGATAGAATGCAATGACCCCTGTAAACGCAGAAGAACCCAGTTCTTAAGTTGTAATCCTTACTCTCTGTACGACAGGGACTCTAAAAGTTAACACTATACAGTACACTGACAAATTGATTTATGACACTGATTTGGTGTTCGTTTAAAAAAAAATAGAAAATAAACTTCAAATCAAATGAACTTTTATGCTAAATAGTCAATCCCCCAGCTCTGGTACATTACTAGATATAACCCTTTCTGACATAACATTAAATTCTGCATGTCCTGTAAAACAATGCCATCGATAAAAGATAGTCTCGTGATCTCTGTTCAAATACTTAGCACACAAGTTAAAGCTTGACACCAGAAAACAGGCATAATGATGTCTAGTTATTTAGGTACATACCAGTGAAGTGAGAGAGATCCATGCTAAGAGAGATACTGCACCTGATGGAAGTAGCAAGCCATTTGCTTTAGCACTCTTGTTCTCCAGCCTCTCAGTAGGATGCATGCCCAAGCACGTTTTGTACATATATTCTGAGACTTCCACATGAGCCTCTGTACTTAAAATCCCCTAAGTCTCTTCCAGAGCTAACAATCCTCATGAGGCATGTTTAAAGCAGGAATCCCTATAGCTGGGCTTCATATATACACCTACACAAAAAATTACTTCCATGGAGAAGGAACTATGACCGAGATCTCCCAAAAGGAGGAGGAGATAGTATTATACAGAAACATGGACTTTCTAGAGCCGGCACAGTGGCGCTGTGTTTCGCTTTGCTTCCTTGCAGAGCTGGGGAACGGGTTCAGTTCCAGACCTGGTGCGCTACCTGTGTGGAGTTTGTATGGTCCGACCGTGTTTATGTGTGTTTCCTCTGAGCGCTTCCGTTTTCCTCCCGCAGACAAAAGATATAATTGCATACATTTATATAGCACTTTTCTGGACACAAGAAAAGTCAAGTACTGTAGTAGCTTCGTGCAGTGGAAGAGCAAAGATTTTGTGGGGAGTCGAGACAAAAACGTTCTTTTACAGTAATGAAAAAAAAGGTTAGGGCATTAAAAATAATAATCAGGCCCTATGCTCATGTTCAAAGGTCTTTTAAAAATATTAAAATTATGAACCGTTCTTTAAATGGTCAAACTATGGACACTACTCATGCAGACCTGAAAGTTAGCCTATATCCAAAAACTATGGAGATGCCATTTATGTAATCAAAGACAACCATAAAATGCCCAGCCTTCATTCAAAGAGACATAAGGTGGCTGTGAGACCTAAGAAAAACTGCACAGTCTAATTACTCCTTTAAGATTAGATGTGGTTGTGGAGGTTCTTTTCATATGCAGCTAAACAAAATAAACCAGGACTGTTTCACCGGTGGTATATATAAAATTATTGTAACCATGAAAATAAACAGTCTACCCGGAAATCAAAACAAACCTCAAAATAAGTCATTCGGTTAAGAAAAAAAATGCAATATTTAGGCTAACACTGATGATGGTATACATATAGCCTACACTAGACAGAACAACAATTAGCACATAAAAAATGTACCAATACCAAAACAACTTCTATTCAACGGAGTCTTCACAAGGGGGTGTGAACAAGAAAATCCTGTTTTGTAGCTCAGGGACAGTGAAGGCATAAGATGTAAGTGGGTTTTTTAAAAAGTTTACTTTTTAAAGAGTGACCTTTTAAAGATGCTGATTTGGGCTCTGCACCCCCCCCCCCAGAATACGCACAAACCTTCAAGCACATTTGTCCAAAAATAATTTCTACAACCATTGTCAACCTTGATGTCGTTCAAGCATTTTCCACCCTTTCCAAAATTGCCGGACTGTCTGACAGCCCTTCCTTGGGGTTAATGGAGTCTTTCGTTTGGTTTCATCCACTTCGCCAGTCCAGTATTTTACGCGTAACACGAGAAGCAAAGGCGCACCAAACAGCATTTCACCTGCGGCTCTTTTTGGTGCGTTTTTACCGCCCTCCCCCCAGTGAGATCACCCATCCCCGCACAACTTCAGAAAACAGGAGCTCACGGCTCTATCGAGCGCGAATATTGTTAGGGATTAAGGTTGGTCTAGCCAGACATTTTCAAACCGTAGAGGAAAAAAACGCAACGGGGGATAAACAATCGAGGTGGCTAACTTTCATTTCGCCGCCAACACTAGTTTAACAACCTCACTAAATGAAGCGTTGCGACATTTTGTTGGTGGTGGTGTTTTTTTTTTTCTGTAACGACCTGCGTTGCCTTACCTCGGTTAACGACGCGCTCCCCATCTTTGGTCCTACCGGCGTGTGCCATGGTGGGGTGGAGGCTACAGCCCGGCAGCCCGAGCAGCAGGTTGCAGGTGTCTGTCTCTTGCTCGGTCCATGGTCGTCTGCCTAGCGGATCGGGCGCTTCCGATTTCAAGGCAGCTTCGCCACAGAAGAGAAAATCCCCATTTAACACGCTTTTGGAAGACCGATCAACGGCACACAGACAACTCATATACCCATCCCCTGCCACGACAAGTTCGGAAAACGTTGGAGATTTAAAATCCATTCACAACCAGTCCAAACTAAACAAAAAAGTGCCACTTCTTATCGCAACTTCTCAGTGTAGCTACCTCTGACGGCTAGGCTTTTTAAAAACTTAAAACGAAGTCGAGCCCACGCCAAAGAGTGCGTTCTTAAAAACAGCTAACCAGGACTTAAAAGGCTCTCTCTTAATCTTTGTAATCTACAAAGGGAAATTCGGGGCAGACAAAGTTTATAGTCTGGATAATTAAGTACCTGTGCAGCTGCTTCTGTCGCCATCTTGAAAATAGGCTTACCGACCAGGAGTATCAGCAATCGAGCCAAGAAAGATTCGACATCGATGGCTTCACCTGTGTCGGACGTAAAGGCATTAATAATCGCCTCAGGCTTTGAGCTCTTTATCGTTTATCGATTTCGAAAGACGTCGAAAGACGTCAACGTTCTTATTCTAGACGAGCAGTAGAACAAGGTGACGATAACACCAATACGATTCTAAATATTTAATATTTTAAAGAGGATTTTCTAACTAGGAAGTTTAAGAAATAAAGCTAAATCAAGTTTTATCTAATATTGATTGTCGTCATAAAACTTACCAGGGTAATAATGACTGCAAAGTATAGATAAGTATAAGTTTCGGAAGTGGAGTAGAGCACAGGATGCAACTCATCTTTATATATTGATGCTTTAAATTGCAATCATAAAGTTTATCCATGTCATAATAACAGGTGTGGGAGATTAAATGTATACCTTGGTATCTATAAATTGGTTCAAAATATATTTTGGTGTAATTGGGTGTAAAGGTTATTCTGTTTTATCTTCACATATGTAGTGCAAGTGCAAAACTAGGTGTTTTCTACACTGCTTTTAAAGCAGTCAGTTGGGTATGTAAATATCACATTTGGCTATTTTTGGCAGTTGTAAGAACATAAATTATGTAAACATAAATCCGTATTTGATTATGGAGAGAGAACGAACAATCAAAGTAGAGACATGAACCTTAAGAGTTGTTTCTTGGATTGAGTATTTGTTATTGAAAATTGGTTGTAAAGTTAAAATGTGGTCAAAAACTGTACAACATGAAATGGCGTACATCTATTGTTGGAAAGCTGTTTTTTTTTTTTTCCTGTTAGGTGTCATGTCAACCTGGAGCCTATATCAGACAAATAGGACCCAAGGCAGAACACCCAAGAGTGGGATACCAGTCAAATTACAGCACACATACAGGGACAAGGAGGCATGGTGGTGCAGCGGCCAGCATTGCTACCTTGCAGTACTGGAGCCCTGGGTTCGATTCCAGACTGGGGCTCTATCTGTGTGGAGTTCGCATGTTCTTCCCAGGTTACCAAGGGTTTTCTCCAGGTGCCCCAGTTTCCTCCCACAGTCTAAAGACATACTGATGGGTTACTTGGCTTTTGTGTAAAATTGGCCCTGGTGTGAGTGTGTGTGTTTGCATCTGTGTGTGCCCTGTGATGGGACAGGCATCCCATCCAGGGTATTTCCTGCCTTAAGTCCACTGCTTGCCAGGCTCTCCTGCAACCCTAAGCAGCTAGAAAAATACAGCATCTCTTTGAGAGATGGGATGAAGCCAGATAAAACCATTGTGAACACAGGAATACCATGCAAGCTCCACACAGAAGGCACCCTGGGCCGGAATTAAGCCCAGAATGCAACAGAACTGAGCAAGCAGAGCAAACTGCCATCCTTTAAAATGTGATAATAGTGTAGAAAAGAAAGGATGCTGTAATTTTCCTTCACAAACAATAGCAGCTCAAAGTTTCACTAACCAATACTTAAACAATTGTCTAATTTTACTCAATAATTATACACACAACAAACTCCACAGTAACTGGAAACTTGCATCCCCATTCCTGAAGTTTTAAGCTCAGTATAGCTTTTGTAATGCAGAAACCTGCTGGGACTCTCATGAGATGTTTAAACTATTTTTCAAAGCAAGAACATAAAACTTGTAGATGCTAGCAGAGCTTTTAAGCGTAAAAATCTGTGCAGAACCTAACATGTCCTGTTAACATTTTTAAACAGTTAAAATAACGATGGATAGTCCATCCTTTATGGATCTTTAAAAGGTTAATCTTTTTCTCCTTTTCATGTCTTGGACATTTTAACTTGGCAAAAGAAACCCCGAAAAGCATACATAAAATGCATAGCTGGAATAGTAAAGAAAGTAACACGTTTATTCCATGCTGAAAAAAGAAGAAAATAATGTTTCGGCTGTGGAGCCTTCTTCGGGCATGATGTGTGGAGAAGGCTCCACAGCCGAAACATTGTTTTCTTTCTTCTCTTTTCAGCATAGAATAAACCTATTACTTGTTCCTTTGCATGCTGATGCAGCTACCCACCTGAACTACACAGTAAGAAATGTGACGGGTTAAAACTCTGGCTTCCCTGAACTGCATTTTTTTACAGAAGCCAATTAGGAACAAGGAAAATGCATTGTGTTATAACATCTGAGTTGATTCATAACTGTGTTATGAGATATCATTGCGCATAACTTAAAAAACGTACAGCATTCTGAAACGCACCATGAAAATAAGCCACATCTCAAACAAAACATTAAAAAAATGTTTATGATGTGGCTGGACATGCCCGCACTTGTGGTGACTTGTCAGGACCCAAGAGCAAGGGACCGGAGTGGTGGAACAAACGAAAAGATACGATTGGGGCGCAAGCACTCGGTGATGGAGGGGAAGTGAAGGTGAAAGTGAAGGGAGACAAAGGGAGTGAAAATAGAATAATTGGTTACTGGCCAGCGGGGCTTAATTACTCCAGGCCAGTCAGTAATCGGGGAAAAAAAAGGGAAAAATGAATTCATAAAGACCTGGCCAACAGATAAGGATTGCCCTAGCCAGTCGGCAAAGGAAAATTAACCAGCAAGGGGTGTCGGTCCTAGGAGAACCTGCTTCACTGCACCCCCGCTGAAAAGAGCAGAAGGATGGGCTGGCCCAGCCGCAACCCTGTACGAACTGCTCAACGCAGTCTGTTGGTCGGGCATCAAAACTGAACCAACTGGCAGCATCCAGGCACCCATTGGATCAACCTTTTCCTTTTGTAAGGACTGGGTGACAAAGAAACCCCTCCTTAATCCCCCCCTCTACTCCAGGAGTCCCAGGTCAGCACAGCTGCAGGGAATGGTCCCAATCAAAAGCCTGGGAACAAAAGAATCCTCAGGGAACTAACCGAGTGATTCTCAACAGGTACCGGAATAGGAACAGGATAACTGGCTCCCAGGGGAGAGAAAGGGGGTGGCTCTGCAGGGACACTGGAAGGTTGCAAGAAACTGAAGAAAACAGAAAAAGGATTAACTGACCCAGACAGCCCAAGAAACAGGAGAGAGAAAAGAAAGAGCCCTAGAGGACTGGAGAGAAACGGGCTGCCTCAGAGAGAAGCCAGGACGGAAGCAGGAATGAGGGCGGTCCGAGACGATACAAAGTACAAGGCCAGGACTCCCACAAAACAGGAACAGGGTTGTGGGAACGATAACTGCACGGAGAAAATTCTGGGGTCCTGGATGAGGAAAGCTGCCTCCTGCAGTAGGACGGAACTGCAGGAGAAAAAGAGGCCCAGGTTCCAGGGCGAGGACCAGGAGCTGCCATGGAGACTGGAACTGGTGGGCCAGTGCAAAATGCAAATTAGAACTGGAACCGGAGCTGCAGCATAGGGGAAGTGCAGACTGGAGCAGAAGCTGCTGCAATAATGAGTCCTATTAAGTTCATTCCATCCATTGGGAATCCAATTATAATTTCTACATTTTAATCTTTCATTTAAAATATAACGCTATACAAAAACGGATGTCAAACGGGTATCTTACAGTTGCTGAATTTCAAAACCGGTTACAACTTTCTGCAACAAATCAAACAAGATATTTTTTACCCCCTTATTTGGAAAGAATAGATAATTGTTTCACAGATTATTGCAAGTTTCCCATTATACTTTAAGAGATTGAATAATGCATAGGAAAGTCAAATTTGTGGAACATCAGTGGTTCTTTAGATACACTGCATTTTATGTTTCTCCAAACATAATTTTTATAAAGGTATGGAAGGAAATACAAATACACAATCCTTATTTTCACAACAAAACTTCTAATTGTACTTTCATGATACAAACCAGGCAAAAAAAAGAAAGGTTAATGGATTTATTTTTATTAGATGTTAAGAAACTCCACAATGAAACAAAAAATAATTTACTCAGATGTACATGAAACAATAACAATCTGAAACAGGGAGAGTGGGAAAACTGGGCTGAGGGATGGAAAGGGAGATCTGCAGAAAAGGAATGGAGAACCAAGGTTTCAGTGCTATGGATATGCTATGTTCACCATACCACAGTGCAATCAATGTATTTCTTAAACTTTGAATCTGACTTCTAATGCATACCTTGTTAGAAAGACTTCTCCACTTCAATCATTAACATGAAACCCTAACCATATAAAATAAATGCACATTCCTCCAACTACCCAATAAAAAGTGTTCTGACTTGGTCTCACACACACCCACACACACCAGAAAAAAAAAACAACAGTCCTATCACTGCTCTATCCTCTTCAGTTTAATTTTCTCAAACGGTGCCGGAGTGTTAGATCAGCATGCAGCTTCAATTTGAAAAAAAGCACCCCATAACTGTTTAGCCTTTTGTCACTCAAAATATAAGCTACATGCAAAATAAACTGAGTGGAACACTATTTTTAATACATCCTTTTAATGTTTTGTGCACTGGTAAATTGCATACGGCTTCAAGCCTTTATCTACGCAATCATGTTTCTATTGTTTTAAAGTAAAGGCTCTACCTATTCCAAAACAAAAATTAAAGTGCAGGTACATAAACTTTTCAGGAAGCTCAGAGGTAAAGCAAAAAACCCCCCAAAAATAGTGTGTTTTTTTGGAAATCAGTCAATAAATAAAAATGACGTTCTCTTTAAAAATATTGTGCAAGAATGAATATATAGCATATATATACATGCATTATGAATGTATACATATGTATAAAATAACTTAACATTTTTAAACAAAAGTTCACACCACTATACCGTCCAAGAAATAAATGTTAAGGTCAAACCCAAAAGACGGTGCATATTCTTTACTTCGGCTAGATCACCGATATGTAAGGTTCAGCTACGTGTAATTTTACAAACAAGAACATATTTCAAAGTTAGTTCCTCTCAGTTTGGTCTTACCTGCATTACACTTCTAGAATGGTTATTGCCTTTGTATCGTAGACCTACTGTGGACTTTCAGTTTGCTGCATACACATTTTTAGTGGTAAAATGGTTTTTGACAATGTGAAATGTACTCTGAGGGACTTAATTTGCATTTTAAAAGACAAACCCTCTTGATTTTATGGTTTAAATCTATCGAAAGTCACAATGGAAAAAAAAAGACAATGGCCTTGAACATTTCAAGGCTTGTCAACTTACTACTAAAAAATATAAAGAAAAGCAAGCCACATAAAGCGACAACCACTACAGCAATCACACTTTTTTTCTTTTTTTAAATTTCAGAGACAACTGATCCTTACACTCGGTCATAACAAGAAACAAAACTACAGGACCTACAAATTCACAGCCACAATATCTAACTGCAATTGCCACAGAAGTCTTTTAAATATTGATAGCACCAACATTTTCTCTAGTAACAATGTTTTAAAGAACCAATTTTATAAGGATCACTACATTTTAGATTCATGGTTAAAGGGACTTTATTCGCCGTGTAAATTTGCCAAAACCAGATACCGTCTTAAGACTTAAAATCTGTTTTTAGATTTTTTCCCCCAAAGATCCAAAAAAATTCTGGGCTTTCACAGTTAGAATTTTTTCTTTCTTTTTTAGTTTATGCTTTATGTCACAAACCATACTACATCTACTTAAAATCTTACGAAAAAGGAATCTATCATCAGTCAAAACTGTATTTTAGACTAAGCACAACCCTTACATTCCTATGTAAAGTTTCATGACAGAGTCGCCTTTTTTCCCAAAATAAAGATTTGCATCCGTGCTTTTCTCCTGTATTCAGAAAGGCACTGTTCTAATTAAATTACTCCAGGTTCTTACACAAAAAACTAAGACCGTGCCATTCCTAAGATTTTCTGAAAAGCAGATGTTAACGGTACTGCAGTGCTTTTAAGATGGTGTTTATAACAGTACTATCACAGTTAGGTTATGAAAGTTGTCGCAGTTATGCTGTAAAAGAAGCAGTGATACTAGTAAGACAGGCACATGCACAACCATTCAGACAACAACTATTCTAGTTAAAAAGCAAAAACTGGGAAAACTGAGGAGGAAAAACAGACTGTCCCTAACTCCTAACTGTGAATTTTTACGGATGAAGATAAAATTTTTAAACGGTTTGAAGAAATTAAAATTAAATTAAAACCGATGCCTTCAAAAGCAAAAATTCTGAAGACATTTTTGAGTACACTAGTTTCAAGTTAGTATCTCCGATCAGCAGGGTTACAGATGTGTTCGAGAGAAAAGGTCTGCACAAGGATCCGCCCAATCACTTCCGTTCTCCGAAGCAGTGTCACTAGAACTGGAGCTGTCACTGGAGAAGAGCTGTCTTCGGAAGCCTGTTGCTCGTGCACCAGAGTTTTTCTCTCCCGAACAGTTGGCGTCACAAGTTGCTGCTGCCTGAAAAACACAAAAGATTATTATAAACACCTAAACAAATAGTTTCAAAAACTAGGAGGCCATCTGGCCCTTCTATCTCTTTTGGTAGTTCATCGTTTCAGGGATCTCATCCATTGGTTTCTTGGAAGAAAACGGCTTAAAGGCTCCAACAATATTTTGATAGGGAGAACCTGGATTAGAAGTTCTTAAATCTTTATGAGGAACCTTGCACTGAGATACATATTTTTGGATTTTTACCCATTTAAACCAACCTCTGATGCTAAAACATTATACAGTTTTGAAGGGAATTAAGCTTGCAATATCTTGAGAATGTTTTCAGTCTACCAATTAGCATTTGGATGAATTATAAATGTTTTCCCCAAATAGTCAACAGCCATCTTGAAACCAAATGCTCACAATGGGAAGGAAGTTGAATATTATCTGCAAAAAAAAAAAACAAATTGAAATTTACTGCCTACACAAGTGTTGAGTCCCCTAGCCACTTGGTAAAGGCACCTTTGGCAACAGTGACTACTGCAAGTCTTGTACTGGGAAAATACTGTTTGTATTTTCAGAACTGCAGACGGACCCAAAAGGCCACAAATGTGGAAAATTCACAAGGAGTGAATACATTTGCAAGGCAGTGAACAAAGGATAGAAACCTTAAGAACAGATTTGGAATTGGTCTCAATAATACAAGTAGAATATACCAAAATTTGAAAAAAATAAAGACTACAGCTACTGTAAAACTAAAAAAAGCACTCTACACTGTTCCTTTGCAACAAAGAATTAACTTCTCTACAACTTAATTTTTTCCAATTACTTACATCATTCTAACTGAAGTGCACAGTATAGCACAATATCTTATACTAAAGATAAGAAAGTACAAGTTACTGAAAAACAATCCTGGGAAAATATTAAAATGTTTTCTCCTTAAAATTACATTTTTTGTAGTTGCAATCAGGCCAACGACTGATTGACTGAATAAACAGTATTTGTGCTGCCAAAAGCAGATAGGTGTGTTTCTCTAAAAAACTACAAATGTAAAAAGCAGAAAAAAACATGACTTCTAAAAGAATCACCCAATAAAACATCGTGATTTGCACTCTGGACACTAGTCCATCATCACCCAATAAAACATCGCGATTTGCACTCTGGACACTAGTCCATCACGCACACAGAAAAAGGGGTCTATTAAATTGGACATCAGCAATCAAATATGTCTGCTTAGTCCTTAACATTAACCATGTAAGTGGGGTAATGGGAAAGTGCTCAAAAACAAGACTGCTGATCTGTGATGCATCAGTGGACCATTAGGTGGCATTCTTGCCTGTAGATAAAAATTGCAAAGGAAATGCTCCTGTGTGAAACCTTGGCACACCATAATGTAGAAGGAGCCATCCTTCAAAATAAATGTTAAACAAAGGTTCTGATGACTTAAAAGATCATGTGGCACTTTTTGAAAGTCTATTGATGCATTTTACTATATGTAAATCGTTTGGAATCAATAATAGAAAAATGGTAAATAAATTTAATGAACTATTAAATTATATCTTCATCAGAAAAATCCAGTTAAGTTGGGCAGAAAAAGAATACAATTCACTAAGTGGCACTACTTGATGTAAAAGTCTGCTACCAGTTTTCATATTTTTTCTTTCATTTTGGTATGGTTTCTAGATATGCCTATCATACACTGCAATAGAAAATGTATACAGCAGTTTAAAATCTGTGCCCTAGTCCTAGCAATAATCCTGCTTAAATCTTTTTAAAATTCTTATTTTAAAAGATCCAGTTACAATTTTTTTCTGTTATTAACCATTCGCTTAAAACACTGACTTACTTTATTCGGTTGTAAAAGAGGGTCTCCATTATGAGAATTTTCTTTGAAATCAACGTAACTCTTCATACCAACTATTTCCTTGAATTTAGTGCAGCAATCTAAAAAAATAAATAATTGTAATTAATCCTCTTAGTCATTTAAACAATGTGGTTATTTTTACACAAATAATAGGATAGGGGTCTCAAGGCTTAGCAGTTGAAAGTTTGGGACTGGACTTTTTATCCACTCCCTTACCCTTAGCAGTAGTAAGCCAATTACACTCACCCCTATTCATTAACTTAAATCTCTTATAACGTAACAACTCTTATATCAAAAAGATGTCTTACCAACCACATCTTTCCATCTCACTTTCCTGCATTTAGACTATATTAGAAACTCAATCAAGTTCCTTTATGTTTGTGAATGAACTCTTCTGTGGGTGTCTCACCATCCAAACTTACTAGAAAGTTATGTGATCCAAGAAAAAAAGACATGACAACTTAACTTGATATTGCTTAAGCTATAACTTGTTCTCATTTGTCAGTAATTGATCAAGTAGGTCTGGTTTAGTTGTAAAGGAGCACAAGACAACCTATAAACGTATAAAAAAAATTTTTTTGTCTGAAATAATGATGCTATGTACATTTTAATAACATGTTTTTGCAATGAAAAACTAAAAAAAGTCACTCACATTACACATCCCCATTATTTAACTTGACAGGAAATAGAACGTTTTTAAAAAAGAAAACTGGAATTAGCAGCAACAAATTACATGCGATTGGACTGGTCTAACCTTTTCGAAAATCTTCTTTTAACTGACATGAGCACACGTCATGCACACTTCAGATTCCAACCTGAACAGAGACCTACTGTACATACTTTTACTGCAGAACACCAACTAGATCATTCCTGTATTTAATACAACTCACTGAAATTGTTCTTTCTAGAGTGGTTCAACGCCTGCTGTAATTAAAATACACTTTAAGTAAGTTTTGTAGATTTTAAAATACTTGTAAAAACTTCTTAATACTAAAATATTTGTAATACTTGCATAATGCAAGGGACATTTTCTCGCTCAGATGAACGAGCACTGGAAACAATTAATTCTTGTCTAACTCTCAGCAGAGCCCTGCCCGTTGTTCAGTGACCAGTCTCAAGTTCAAAATCACAACATTTTTCATATAGAGTGCACTATTTGGACCACTCATAACCTTTTGAAAACCTAAAACTGCCTTTATATGATAAGCCCAACTTTAAATAAGACAAGTTAAGATGCACTGTTACACCACCATATGAAGATGACAGAATGGAAAGGATAGAATAAATGCATGCAAAATCAGCTATCGGCATGCACTGTAGAGCAGAAACTTATTTCAAATGAAAAGCAACAAAATATTCCAGGAAAAGGTAAGCAATTCAATTTCTATAACTTTAAACTAATACTATTCTTCTTCCATATTGTATACATCTGCACTAAAACAGTGCATTCATCGTGAAGAAGTTTGGACATAAGCAACAGAAATGCATTACTGCCGATTGTGATCCAACACATCCAAATTTGATCTTGATCAAAACTGAAAGTGGGAATCTACCTAATGACAGAAAGAAAGCATCTTTAAATTATGAATGGTCACAGCATATTATGTGCACAGTATAAACCAATATTAGTATAAATGGAATAAATATTTTTAAAATGCCAAATATCTATATTTGGGATTATGTGGTTAGGTTTTCCATTTCGGACCCCTAGGACCCTGGGGGTGCTATCTGGGAGGTGTTGGTATTTCCACTTCTATTAACTTTGCACCAATCGTAACAGTTGAGGTTTCTCAAGAATCGAGGGACAATGGTCCACACTTAGCTAGTATTAACATTTACAGTTCCTGAGAGGTCCAAAGCAAGAAAGGAATCTGTCTACCGCCTTGTCTCACACCCAATACACATTTAACACTGATTAAAGGAATCCTCTGGATAACCTTGGTTAAGTAAATTCTGGGTAAATGTCTGGGTAAAAGTCACCAGCAGTCAAGGAAGAGGGGATAAAACAAGCAGGTAGGGAGGGACAGACAGAGGAATAAGGAAAAAGGCAGAAAAGACAACAAAACACAAAGGATAAGTAGAAAAGACAGTGCCGAGTGGGAGGTCCTTGTTCCAATCTGCCATTTAGGTGAGAATCGCGTTGAGTATTCGAACCTTGTTACCCAACTTTGATCCAGAACAGAGAATCCCTCGATTAAAGAAAGGTCGCTCCTGGATTGTAGATGCATTTTTAGAATAGCGAGTTAGGTTCCATTTATTTTGTAGCATTATATAGAGATTTTACTCTAGATTTTACTCTTTTTAAGAGCAGGGGGCAGGTTTATTTCTCTTTTTGAGCTTGTCAGACATTGAAGAGGATTCAGATACTTGGTAACAGTCAGGCTTTTCTGGTTGGTCAGGACAGAGTCCTCAGATATGTCTCGTTTGTAAATAACAATTTGCATGTTGTCTGTTGTGCTGTATGTTTAACCTTGTGTAATGTCAAAATACTGACCCAGTGTGCCCAATTTACTACTCCTGTCATCAAAGCTGTGCCAGAGAACAAAGAACTCAGGTGCCTTCAAGTACACCAACAGCTCAGGTATACTCTTGGCATAATCAATAATAAGAATAATCAGAATTAGAATCAACAGAATTGTAAAGATTATCCCGCTATGTCGATTTACCATGATTCTCTACTTTCATAATCCTCAATTTGTAAAAGTATGTTCCCCCCTAGTTCACTTAGGTTTCCTCCAGGTGCTCCAGTTCCATCCCACAGTCCCAAAATATGTTGGTAGATTTTGGCTTCTGGGAAAATTGGTGCTGGTGTAAGTGTGTGTTTGTTTGTGCCTGCGTGACCTGTGATGGACTACTATCCTGACAAGGGAAAGACACCGTCTCCCCCACAACCCTGAATTGGCTTAAGAAGTTAGGAAATGGATAGATGGATTATGTCGACAATGTGATTTATTGTTCCAAATGCATTAACTTAATGTCGTACTATGCTAAGTAAATGAATTAGCAAAGAAAAAAATCTCAACCAGTACTGGAACAGCCTACATAAAAAAAAATCAGTTTGAATAAAATGACGAGCATTGATTAGTGCCAAAATTAGGCATTAATAAATTCAGGTTCTTTTCAATTTTACGTCAGTTTCAGAAGAAAATATTGCAGTATTGAAAGAAGCATTTAATGGTAACTAAATCTAATGGCAATTGTGCTGCAAAAGCACAACTACAGAACTACAGAAACACAATAATTTAAGAATTTGCTCACCTGCACACTGAGATCCAGAAACAAGAGGTGGGCAGAGAGATTTTTGCCACCAACACTCCTCCTGCTGACTGCTAGTACTTCCCTGCACATTTAGCAAAGGAAAATGAAAAACGAAAATGAATGTAAGTTTTTCATTCAATTATGCTTAAATGACAATACAAGTGGGAATTAGCTCATTAACGAAAGCTTATGAAAAAACACACAATGTTTTAACTTGCCAAAGCTTTGTAAACTTTTCCCAACTCTGTTTCATAAAACCAAGATACAGACCTAGATAACTGTGACCTACATCAGGAAATGGGGTGTAAAGTGAGCAAGAGCAACCTCTGATGGTCTATAAAGTCCTTTAATTCATAAATGACATACAGTGAGCTTTCCCAGACTGAACTCGGCGAATTAATCACATTTGATGGAAAAGATCACAAAAACTCCACTTAGTGTAGCTCAGTCCATTTCACTTTGGGATTCTGTTGCTCTTTACAAAGACACTCTAACAAAAGTTACTGATAATCTAGCTTCTAGATTACCCTCTCGCTCTTCCCTGGCACACAAAGAAGCAGCACTCTATTAATGTAGCACACTAACATCATAAGCAGGTGTGGAGGTAGACTGAGCTGACTGTTCAGTTACAGGCATCTGCACAACATCAGCAGGTCTACAGAAATGCCCCGAAGGTGGTCAGATCCCCCTTCTACTCCCATCTTTTTGAGACAGGAAAGAGAAAATGCTTTTCACATGTTTATGGAACTTGTCCAAAATATGACTCAAAAAGTGCTTAAAGATTCATGCTTTTAAACTAAAATGATAAACTTTAGTGACCATTGGTTTTGCATATACCACATTGTGTGCCTTTTTGCATCTATTGTGTATAACAGTGGTTCTTATTTCTGGACGTAGGGGTTCAGAATCTGCTAGTCTTTATTTCAAATGAACCCTTTCAACTGAAATGGGTCACTGACTTGTTTGTTTAAACTTTTGTATTTCTTGGTTCCAACATCTACATATTTCAATCAACATCAGCACACTCATCTTAAGACGTTCTTCCTTATATCTGACTAAAATGCCCAAGTTACATTTCAGCTACATTTCACAGGTGAAAAGGGAGAGATCTTAAACTGGAAATCGGCTCCTGGTTCATACAATTTACACAGAAATATAATCTGAAAAAAAATTCAAATAAACCCATAACTAAGAACTGTATCTGGATAAGAAAACATGAGACAAAGTGGGCCTAATAGCCTAAGTTTATGAAGTGAACACTTAAAATCTGACAAAGCTAGCAGAATATTAGCTATTTAAATTTCACACGATATATAAAATTCAAAACTTTAATTAGGAACATTTAATTCAAATTGGTTTTGGCATACAAGAAACATTAATGTATACAAGAAAAGGCTACACATGAGAACTCCATGAAACTTTATTCAAAAAAGGTGGAATGTTCTACTGTTCTTTTCTAATGTATATGAAATCTGTAATCTGTAATCTGAAATTTCTCATGTAAATTAGGATGTGGATTAGGATACGTGAAGAATGCATTTTGTCCTTTTTGAACATGTACCATTTGAAATTAGGACTAGCGTTAATTTTTACATAGGTCATCTGAAATGAACCACACAAAATTTAACTTACGATAAATATGAAAAACATTTAAAAACCATAACTGTTCAGACAAATTCCTACCTCTTGCAAATCTTTGCCAAATTCGTAGGCTTTCCCATAAGTGGAACACTGACCGGCCTCTGAACATTTGCATGCCTCGCTATCCTCTTTAGAGATTTCGTCTGTTTCAAGTTCTTCGACAGACGCTTCAGTTTTTATACTCCCAGCTGATGCCTCCATTTCACAGTCTAAACATACTTCTTGCTCAGCTATCGGCAGAAGGGAAATGGGACCTTCTTGTGAATCTAATGAAGTCTGGGCACTCTTTTCCATGCCTGACTTCTTTAACCTTGGTAAAAATTTTCCAGACTCAAGTTCTAGCTTTCCATAATACGGACCCTCACATTCAGCATCTTCCTCTAATGGTTTGAGATCTGCCTGTGGATCATCAAACACATCTGTCTGAGAGAGGATAGGAAGACTCAATTCGTCTTTTTCAGATTCCAAATCTGACTCGCTTCCTCCTCCAGGAGAGAGTTCAGAGGCAGAAATTGGTCGAAAATGAGTTCTTGGGGAAATACGGATAGCCCTGTACTGGGTTCTGTTGATGCCATACATGCGAGGGTGGAAAGTTTCATTTTCTGAATCTGAGCACAGTATTGATTTGGGCTTGAAACCTGGGCTGAATGAGGCTATGTCTTCAGGCTCAAAGGAGCACTCCACATGAAGAACTTGAGAGAATGGATTCTTCAAGTCAAAGGAGGAGAATGAATAATCCAGTCCTGGTTCATCACTACGAAAGCTGCTGCAAGTTCCTAGTAAATCTTCATGGAAGATGAAGGAAAATCCCTTATTCAATCCATCTCCTCCTTTCACAGCCTGATCACACTGCCCAAACGAAACCAAAGGCCTCCACAAAGGCTTGTGACCAGGAGCAAAGCAATTTCCGGTATTCATAAAAACATCCGTGCCAGCTATTGTTACAACATCCGTAGCTGCACACTGTAGCAGGTTACCACGAGTGTGTCTAGGTGGCACCACGGCCCAGTCGCCATCACTATTAAAGGTTTTAAGCTCTCCATACACTCCTCCAAGAATGAATGTGTTGTCCTTATCAGGATTCACATCCCAAGGTTTGGATGGTGTGGTATAATCTCCACCATCTACCTTGGAAAGCTCATTTTTTATAAGTGTCTGTTCTTCCAAGCACTCCTTTTGCCCCTCCCATAAGTGATACTCAGATCGCTGAACTGCCTTTTTCTGAGACACCTGGAGGGACCCTGCTTTCCCATCCATGTCCAAACAACAGCAGTGGTAGTTTGTGTCTTCTGAGAACAATCCCTCATCTACCTTTTCTCCTTCTAGGGTTACTGCTGAATCTCCGTCTCCAATAGATGTCCATATATCCTTTATTATCCCTGAGCTGTAGTTGTCACTTTGTTGGGGTATATCATTAGTGAAAATGCCAGCACTTCCATAAGGTTTGCTTTCATCTTTTTCTAGCGGTATTCCACAAACGGACTCCAACTTAGACTTTTTTTTTAAAGTTTGACTGGAAATTGAACATACCTTTCCATCACCACAATGACAGTTGTCTTCTTGTAAAAAGTCCAAAAGTTCATCTTCTAGATATCTAGAGGAGATTGATGGCATTATACAATTAATCTCTTCCGTGACGAATTGTGCTGACTCTTCTGACTGAATATTCATTTGCTCGTTATCAGAACGAGTTTCTTCCGAATGTGACCAAGGACTACAGGTTCGTGTTGAAAGATTTGAACAGTGTTCAGTTTCGTCAAAGGCACTATTTTTGGTCCATATTAGCAAGCGAGACTGTTTATTTCCTAAGGGCTCTATACAGCTACTAGAATCTGTGGTGTCATGACCAAGGGTGAGTGAGTCACAAGGAAAAGGTAGAGTGGGGCTATCGTATTGCACTTCAAAAAGAGAAAAACAAGAAGAGTTTAAACCAGGTGCTTCGTTGGCCTCTGAGAAATACTCTTCCTGGTTTCCAGGAAACCTGCTTGGGTTGAATACTGTATTGTCCAATGTGGGGGAGAGCCGAATGGGAGAATCCCCTGCAAAACTTTCTCCATCAATATCTTCAGAGCTAGAAGATGAATAACATTCCCAAACTTGAGCAATGTTTTCCAAATCTTGCAAGAAAAATCCATCAGCCCCAAAAGATCCATGCGAATCCGCCCTTATTGCACTTTCCCCTTGCAGCTCAAGGCCATCTAACACTACACAACAATCTGCCTCAAAGTCTCTTTGTTCTTTGCTTTTTTGCCGAATCATGCTTAGGATTCGACTTTCTTGTACAGAGTCTGAGGCACTAGGATCCAATATGGATTGATAAATATCTACTTCGTAGAAGTGAGTGAATTCAGACAGATGCTCATCATCTAAATCTCTACTATCCCCCGGTTGAGGGCAGCTTGAGGTCCCATTGAGGTCAGCAGCCTCAATTTCTGCAGGCATTTCCACAAAATGACCATCGACAAAAGTACCTGCGGCGAGGTATGCGCGCTGAAAATTTGTGTTGGCGATACAAATTCCTTGCATCCTCTCCGACAACTTTTCAACATCTGTCGATGCAGAAAAGACATCGTGTGAATCCAGCCTGTTACGGTACTTAGTTTCTAGTTTGCTCTTTCTGCTTAAGGGGACAAAATATTCAGTTATGGGTTCCGTATACCATAAGGGCTCTTCCTTATATTCTTTATTTCTTGCCTCAAAGGCTAGTTCTTTAATTTCACCACAGACGGATTCTTTTCGGATTTCTTTTAACGGCCGCTTCCCCTTTTTGTTTAGCTGCTGTTTAGTGGGGCCACTGCTGCTGCTGCTTCCACCGGTGTTTCTTCTCTCTTCTTTGTCAAAAGCCTTTAATGCCAACTTTACCTGCCCATTTCTCCCCCTTTTATTTCTGCTGGTTTCCCTTGACTTATGCCTGATTTTGACCGATTTTATGGGTGTTCTCATCTCGCGGTGGTTCCCACTGGAGCTAGAGCCTGCTTCGCTGGACCCAGATGACCAAGAACGAGGGCGTAGCTTTCCTTCAGACCTGTGCCTTATCTGTTTCTTACTCTGAACAGCTCTTTCTTCCACCACACTGTTATAGTATCGGTTCTCCTTCTCCCTTTTACTCCGTCTCTGCTGGGGTCGTTCACTTGGTGCACAACAAGCATCATTTTTTTCTTTTCCAGCTTCACCCTCACTGTTACAATCCTTTGGGGAGGAGGTGTCGGTGCTTGTTTGAGGAGCAGTAGAAGATGAACTTGAATATGCACATGCTTTTGCCTTATTCCACACTGTCATTATTTCTTGAAGACATACAGGTTTTTCTGACAGAGGTGGAAAGGCTTCATAGTACCTGCAACCAAGCAATGTAGAAGGTTAATGAGCAGTTTTTATGATGAAATGTGTAAAACAGTGCAACAATCACAATGAGCTTAAAAACTAATATTTTAATTTAAAAAATGGATTTTAAGTTTAAGAAAATCTCAGACTTTTCTTTATATGATCTAGTTATTACTATGAGGCTAAGTTTTGTTTTTGTGAAAAGGTATTCATGTTTATTGGAACTGTTCTATTTGTGTTAGTGTTTGCTCCTGGCACAAGATTTTTGTGAACAATAATTTCATGAATAATGGTTGCTGACAAAGTTACATTTATCATATGACCACGCTCAACATGCCACAATAGGGGAGTTTTATCTGACTTTCAGAAATTTGCTAATTAGACAAGCAGTTCTCACATTATTATCCTGGATGAGCTATAATTACCAAATTATAATTACAGCTATAAACGCATGTGAGCATACACATGCAATGTAAACAACTAAAATAAGCCATCTTAAAAAAAGACATCTACTTACATTTCAACTTGATCTTTAGATGAAGGAGATTCATCGGGTTCAGGAGATTGGGATCCTTCAGATTTCTTGTTGGTCTGTTTTTCTTCTACAAAGAAAAAGGGTAAATTACTTTTAACAATTATGAACTTTTAACAACCTATTTGATTAGTATGCACAAACTCATGAAATAAGTATAGTGTGTAAACTAAACTCCATTATTAAAGGTCTAAAAATTGAGTCACTATAAAGGATTATTTATATAAGAATATATAAATAATTTGATCACAAGGATACAAAGTTACAATTGGGAGAACAGGTGGAACTTTTGTCATAATCAGTATTTGTTTTAATTAATTTCTTCCTACTTTGGAATGTTGGAATGCAAGGAAGTCCTATCGTTCTCATCATAGAATTCTTACGTGAATGTTTTTCTCATCTTATTTAACACATGTACTTAGGAAAGGGTGAGTGAAAATACAGACCTTTCTGTTTATTCTGAAGATCCTTTAGCTTGGAGCAAAGCTCCTCAACTAAGCTTTCAATGCCAGAGCTCTGCCACAAACAAAAAAAACAAACAATTACTAACAATCATACGTAGTACAAAACCTTCATGAATTAAGAGATCAAATGTTGATATGACCTTTACTAAAAAGTCTGCATTACTGAATTTATATATTACTGAAGAATATGCATTATTGCATTCTTACATTATAACTGCATTATGATTGAACATTCCAAAATAAGATTTCTTAAAGCTGCCTGAAGAATGTTACCAACATTACAATCAAACATCTAAAATCAAGACAAGCTTTTCAAAAAAACATTTCATTGCCTCTTCTCTTATTTATAAATGTTTCATTGAAAAAAAATCACAGAATTACAAATGCTATTGAAGTCTCCAAGAGATAACTTAACCATGAGAATTTGTACAAAGCGCTCTAATATAAGCCTTTAAAAATAACAAAAAGTGCTTTCATTTTTGTGATCTGATAAGTTCAGATAATCAAACAATTTCAGACACTTAGTTCTCTTACATACAACGTAAGTTCTCAAAAGAAAGCATGTATGATAAGTGACAAAAGCCGGATACCGACATTCAAATTCAGATACAAATATCAAAAGACTACACTTTGAAGGTTTCATTTCTGAAGACAGCTGAAACTCTGGATCAAGTAAGCGGTCTACTGAAGCAATGAGCACTGTCCTAGCTGTTAATTTTAGATCCATGAAAGAAACAGTACAGGAAAATGACTAAGCATAAACTTCTGGCCTCCTCACTTATTTTCTAATAACATTAAAACAAGAGTAAGAGGCATTAACTTAATCAACAACTTCTGAAAACTATAATGAGATTTAAATACAGATTTTTTTAAGACCTTTCAAACATTAAACGTTTGTATCATTATCCAGTCATTTAAAAAACAACTACAAAAGCTTCTGCTTGGGTGAAGCTCTACACCAGATAAACACTGCAGTTTGTAAAACCAATTAAAAAAATATTTGAAAATGAAAAATCTCTAAAGCTATCATTTCAATAGAAGATATCATTTCTTACCATGCCAGTCAAAGAAAGGTAAAGTTTTATTACAGCCATGTATTTCCCCCTGCATTATTGTACCTAACACTCAAGTCAGCTGACATGCTGCACACTGCGCAGAGAAGGATTCTGTGCAGCCTGTACTGGCAAAAAATAGACCACAGAGCAGAATGCCAGACCTCCAGAGACTGCTTATTCCAATACTAGTAGTGAAATAATCTTGAAGTTCCCCAAGATTTAATTTTATTCTCTTTTTCTAAGAGCCATCTCATGTATAAAAACATTACATGCATTCCCTTCAACTGAAAGGTGTTCATTTTACCCAATCTCTTCAAACTCACACTGAATGTATGAGAAGTCCACACTGAATACATACTAACAGCAATGCATGCATTACGGGATACACATACTGCACAAACTTCTACACAGAGTTTACATCAGCAATCAGCATAAAGAGACCCCTTAGGGGTAATCTTAGCAGGTAATCTTCATGTGGATTTCAGATTCAGATCAATTTAAACCAGGTTTAAAATCACTAGAAAGAAAGCATATTCTCCTGGTGCCCATGACGAATAACTTTAAATATGTTCTTGATTACAAACTGTAAATACGAAGCAGTTCACAACTGCATGACCTCCAACATAGAAAGCTAAACATGACAAAACTGAAACGTAAAACCAGATCTTCGGGGGGTTCATTTTGTGACGCAACATAAGGCACAAATTAAGCAGTAGAATGTAGGTAAATAGGTCAGGGGCTGGGAAGCATGGAGTGCATGTACATGTAAAACAAACAAGATCGGGTCAATACATAGTAACATTAAAATATTCTGTGTTAATTCTTTGATGAAGAGGGCTGTATTTATGTTTAGAATATTTTTCTATACTAATCAGGATTCATCGTGCTTATGATTAAGGTTTTGTATCTACTTAGAGCAATTATGCAATCACAGTCTTCCTTGAAAATTGCTTTAAGTTTTTTTTCTTTTAAAGGCCTTATTCTTTCTTTTTTCCCGTTTCCCCAAAAATTTTAATTTAGGCCCATTGCCCAATTTACCGTTTTAAAAAAATGCATTTTCAGGACACTAAATGTGAATCATATGCAACAACCTGCATTTGGATTATATCTTTTGTTTTTGAATCATTTAAAAATTGTTTAGAAACATTTAGCTGGAATTTAACTGCGGTCCTCTGTCTCATTTGGCTTAGGCAGCGGCTGAGACTGACAATATCAGATAAGCTATAAAACACTAAGACAATAAGGCCAATTGCTGTCAAATGGATTTATTGTTACTAAGCAGTAAGTGTATATTTAGGAATCTTCCAATGAAGATCAGCCTGTGGTCTAATACTACCCCAATTTGAGTACTACAGAAACCACTACATTAGGATGCAAAATGCAGAAAAACCTCTGTAATTGAGAATGTGTGAAAAAACAATACACTTGTTTCCAGAGCAAAAATCTTTCTAAAATGGTAGCTCATAGTGATACTGAAAGACTTAGAAACATTAGCGCTGTCATATCTCAACACCAAATCATTTATACCAGGTCTTAGTTAATTTACCAGGTCTTAGTTAATTTCTAACCACTGAAACCATGATCATTACACAATATGGAAATGCATACTGTACAAACACTGTGAGAAACCCAAGTGAAGAATGTATATTGTTTAAACATCTTCTGAAGAAGCACAATGATCTTAAAAGTGCACAAGGTTCGTCAACAATGCTGCAATTTCATTCAGATTTTAAACTCTTATCACATCAAGGTTTCATTATGAAAAAGCTGGATTCTTTTGACAATATCTAACAAAGCATTGCAGTAAGTCATGCTTTTGGACAAGACTAAGAGCACACTTACTCTACATATTCATTATTTATATAAAATGCTAAAATTATAAGCACTTCTGCTTAATGTATGTGTTGTAATTATATTTTATGAAGAATGTTCAGGTATAAGATGCTTGTACAAGTACTCAGAACTGAAATCAATCACAATTACAAATGAAACACAAGCAAGAGTCTCATTTCACTGTTCAACTTGATAATATTGTGAACATACACAGAAATTCAAAAGGTGTACAGAATTATTTTATTGTACAGAACACCACTGGGACCCCCCGAAGTACAAATGATTCAGAAAATAAAAATTTTAGGCTGGGGGTCCGAATTATTGTTTTCTTTTATTGTTAAAAGAAAGTAGCCCACGACAAGTAGTCAAGCATTGCAATGAGAAATGTAACAAGTGTAAAACGAGATGCAAACATATTGTTGACTGAGATTGTGTATTCAGCCTGGCAGATACTTACTTCATCAGATGCAGAACGCAGACATCGCACAGCGGCCTGTTTCTTCATTTCCTCAAGACTAAGGTCCGCCCCCTTCTTCTTGCTCTTCCCCCATTTCTTACTGGTTCCCTTCTCCCAACCCAAGAAGATGTCATTTTCCTGAAGAAAGACATTCCACTGTTTACTGCATTCTTTACTTCAGATGTCACAGGAGAGGTTAAGAGTTACTTATCTATGTCATCCCATTCCATCAACAAGTGGTTCTCAAATCAGTGGTGGCGCCCCCTAGGGGGAAGTGTAACATCAAAGGGCTTGCAAGGAGCTAAAGGGAAAAATACTTTTTTCTGACAGTAACCAATAAAAGATCTTAAAACTGCTGGATTCAACCAATATCGTGGTAACCTAGATGGTGCTATAGATTCAAAAGATCCATTTTAAGGTTTGGTATTTAGGTCTGTGGTGTCCCGGGTTTAGCAGATTGCATGGTGGGTTTTGAGACACCTGAAGATGTTTACTGAAAACTGGGACAGAAAGAGCCTGACAATTACGCATGATGAGCCTCAAGACAGTAGCAGTTTGATCAGAACTATAGAATGTTCAAGGAAGAAAAGGACTTCTGCCATGACTCCAGTATTTATGAAAAATTACAAATGATAAAAGCTAGTACCTATGTGAGACACCTATCCCACCTGTGTTTTGACCACCTTAGTTGCAACTGCTATCATCCACATTTTAAACTATTCAACTCATAGCTACAATGAATTTCACTAATGGAAGTACTAAACTCAAATATCACACCCGTAAGCATCAATCTGAAAAAAATAAAATCCCTTATTAAACTCTAATGGGACGAAATAACTTTCGTTAAGGAAAACAAGACTGCTGCTTTAAATTGTTTGTAAACCAGCAGGTGGCACTCTCCCTCCGGATCACAACCGTAGCCCACTTTTTATTCCAAAGATTGAACCTCTTGTTCCAAAACATAATGGCAGAGGTGACCAGAGATTTGTTGAAAAGGCTCATCTTAATTGTGATACTGACATTAAAAAAACTGCAACACTGCATGATGTTCAGGTGGCATTTTGGAAATGCACAAGAGTCTAAGTATACTACATGCAGCATATACAAACCTTTACTTAAATATAAAACCAGGATGGATGAATGTCCATAACAGACATAAAACCTATAAACCTGCAGGCCGCAAAACACAAAATCAGATCACATTTCCTCAAAAAAAAAACAGTGTGTCTTAGCCAACTCTTCTAAGACTGTCCTGTGATATGTACCAAGTTTCCTTTATTGTAAAAAAGCCTCTTTGCATTCAGAATTCCAAAAGGTAATTTCATTTTTTCCCCAACTTGGCATAAATGTACTGTTGTGGGTTAGAGTTATAACTGTGAACTTGTTATCCAATCAATATCCAAAGTTCTTTGCACCAGCTGGCTACATAACCAAATATAAATGACAATTTCATCAATTACACAAGACAGGTGCTCTTTATTCTACAGAACAACTTGTTTATGGAGCAGTCACCAGGGAAAACTTAAGACAAATATTACTTTAACACACAGAGAACATATTTCACTAATTCTCATTTCATTCTGTAAATTTCAGAGCCCTGTTTGCTACAAAAAACATAACACTTCCCCTATAATCTAAACATCTTAACAGGCCGAAAAGGAATGTGCACCCTATTAAAAGGATACTACAGGTCTCCTTTACTAAACATGCCCACTACAGAACAGGAGTCATTTTCCATGTTTAAAACAATTCATCACAAACCTGGAGAGTAAGACAACACAGAAAATCATAATTCCTCAAGTAAGACAGGCAACCCCTTTTAAAAGTATTCAGAATACCTGGTGTGGTTTCAAATCAGATGAAAGACAAAAACATACAGTCCAGTCTTCCTTGTTGGATATGTATAGTTCTTCTGTTAGTGTTTACTGTATTTATACTGCCTTGAGGCCACCTCTATCTCATGATCCACCTCCAGAGAGGCTGGCCATGACCTCACTAAAAAGGGTCCATTTACTGTTAACTATCCCTGTTCTGCAATGGCTGACTTAATAATTTAACAGTGAATTTGTTTAAAGTACCACACCTTTGATCACCTGTATCTTGCTCATGTTTATCTGTCCAACTGACACCTGTATAAACACTGAGACACTATTCATTGTTCTGTAAATCTGCTGGGAAGTACAAATCTTACAGCCACAACATTACAGCTATAACATCAAAAATACAAAGTTTGAATTGAAATATGTTAAGTGTGCAGCTAATGTCAACAAAGAGCTAATTCTGCAGGTGAATTTAGTTTTAAATTTAGTTTTAGTAGTGCACTGCATTACGTAGAATATTTTATAAGCCTATACAATACGCAAGAAGCTGTGGAGCAAGAAATTGTCTTACCATATTAACCTAACATCTACATTCACTCAATTTAACTGCATTAAGTAGTAGACTCTGCTGAACATGAAGGAAACACATAGTGAAATACATTTTGAGAAAATAGTTTCACAACTTTGGAGCACATCAGAAAAATTAAGATTTTTATTCATTTTCTTTATATAAGAGATGTGATCATCATTCTTAAGTGATCTCATTTAAAACCTGAGGAGTGGTTCATTACAGTAATGAGACGTTCAAGTGAAGTAAGTTACACAAGTTGGATAACAATGAGCTGAGGTTTGTGGGTGAACTGTTTAAAGATGAATTTGTGGAGGAACATTAGTGAATGTTTTTTTTACACAGGGTACTTACACAAGCCACAGACCTACGTTTTCTACATGAAGCTAACAGTGCCTCCAAATACACGTTCTCCATATATCACAGGACGGGATTTAATTCAAGAACATTGCAGTGCTTTGGATAATATGAGAGTACAGGATGGGAGAGGACTGAATCTTTAGTCCCTTCTCACACACTAACCCAGGACACTGCTGCAGTGCTTTGGATAAGATGTTAAGGAGAGTGCTTTGGTCATTACACATCTCAAGGCATTGGGCTGGGTTAACACTTTTTAATAATCTGACCCCCTAAAGTTCCCGTTAACTCAAATGACAGGGTCATTTCTCACTTTATCCCATATACTGTGTAGTGTTGCTGCTGGTACATAAAGAGGACCCCTCAAGACCAGCACCCACCAGTGCAACACACAGAAAGCCATGTTATGCAGCAGCAAGATGGAACTGTACAAAAGTGAGGAACTAAATTTTCAGCAACTAAATCATATTTACAAGTGTAAATTGCAAGTAGCCCAAACACCCCTTTCAACAGAGACAAATCTTCCCCAACTCAATACTTAAAGTCAGGTATACATGGAAAAATAACCTACCTGATCTTGCAAGTCGTAGTCATAACTATCATGCAGAAGAAGACTAAGAACATAACGAGTGTAGATCATGGCATCAATCCCACACTTCTCCAGCTCCTGTCCTAGCCAGGTTTGCACCGGGCCCAATGCATGAAGGAGAGACATTTCTGAAGCAGGAAAAGGGCCTGAAAAGGGGCTTGAGTAGCTTTCAGGAGCAGGACCGTCCAAATCGGTACTGACTGGATGCATCGAACTAGGTGTTAGACATCGTGAAGTACCGGGGCATTTTCTGGTGGATGACTGAAGGGGAGCCTCTCTGGATGCAGTTTCAGTCCAGCAGGACACAAAAGGGGGGAGCTACATGAACAATCATGTAGGTTTTCTTATTGCTGTTTGCAGGGACGAACTTCACTCTTCAATCATGGCTCACTGATGGAGAAAATCAGCTATGGCAAAACACCAATTGTGTTTGCTTCACAATCAGAAGAGGTTCATGTTGAGTTCAAAATCCCTCCTCCGGCAAAATCTGTAAGAAAAAAGTATTTTTGTTATAGCTCCTTCATGAATGTGTTTTTGTTTGGTACTTTCACATAAGAATGTGTTGCAATAAGGTAAAATTCTCCCATGTTAATGCATTTATTTGTTCAATTACCAAAATAACTCATGATTAAGATCTTGAAGAATATATGTCAAGCATAAATAGTATTAAAGCAAAACACAGAACAAGTTTATTCTTAAAAAACTTGGAATAAGAACTTGCAATGTGGTTTGGTTCACCAAGTCAGCACAGTTTTTAGTATTTTCCTGGATATTAAGTGTTACTGACAAAAGAAAAAAGCATTACCAATTGTGTGCATGGGTGTTCATTTTTTTACAAAACCAAAAACAAACTGACAGTAAACAAAACATTAGGCTTATTTAGGCATTATTTAGGATTAACAGAACTTTAAAGACCACATTCTTTCAATTACCCCCCCTCTTCCTGCTCAGAACCCTTGTTAAACCAGTCTGTGAATAACAGCACAAGCACTTTTATTACTTTTATGAGCTAAACAGCATGGTGAATAAGCACAGGATGGGACCGTGGATTTGCTCGAGCCTTTTAAGCAAAGGCAGTTAAAGCAGTCTCCAGTCTGGGCCCAAGCACATTAAACCCCAGGGGCTATTCTTTTGCTCTTGGAAATGAGTTTTGTCACAGTTGTTCGGTCTCACTCCTTCTCTTCCATGTTCCTGGCAAAACAACATGCTCTGGAAACTCCACTGAAGCCGTGCAGTCAATTGATGCAGATACCCCATTCACTTTTACATTGTGTTTTTAAAATGCTTTTAAAAATTGCTGACCCCAAAATCTCTTATCCCCTTAAAACCTACTGTAAAATTCTACTGTACTTTAAATGAGTGAAATGGAGTTTGATTGCATTTGTAACAAAAATTAGGTCACTTACTTGATCTAGTTTAAAAGGGAATTCAATTTCTGAAAAACTTTGCATTAATGATTCAGAAACAGCTTAGACCTTAATCTTTTAAAATTCTCACAGCAAAACAACTATACACTTCAACATTAACCCTATAACTATGCAACTACGCAACTTTGTGAAAAACAGCCTGTTAAATTTGCCACAAACTGGGTAACAAGCAAAAATATCTGTAGACATTACTCTGTAGCAGAATGATAACTCCTAAGAATAAATAAAACCATAGTACTTCTTCCCCTCAGGCTTCAAAACAGTTTGGCATGCTACCAAATATTAAATCAATGTAGCACGTACAATAACAGGAGGGGATGGCGTATAATGTATAACAACATTTGCAGTTCACATCTTGATTGCACTTATCAAGGCCTCCTTCAGAAAGCATCAACAATGCATATCATACAAGCTGTTTGCTTAGCTGCAGGTGGGTTTAAAAGTTTCGCAAACAGATGAGCAAAGGGGACTTGATTTACTCTGCTTAATTAACTTCATGGTAAATCATTAGAACCACAATCAAGGATAAACCTTCAACAGCCACAAAGCACATTGTAAATACAGAGGAACAACAAGAAAAGGAAAAAGAGGGGACCACAGAGAGGAATGAACACCACTGTCCTCCGTCTCAAATCTTGTGCCATGTGAGAGGACTTTGTTCTTGTCAGTCTTGGAGAACCAATTCTGGTTAAGGGATCTGGATATTTTAGAGCTTGCAGTCATTTAAAAAAAATCCGATTTCTTACATTGTGGAACCCTCACACTAAAAATGTTCAGTGATGCATTTCTGAATAGGAAGACCCATATCAATTGACTAAATGCATCTGTGTTCTAGGAAAGGAAATTTAGTTGCATTTGGGATCCAGTCATGAGATTTTTTAGTCTTTTCGGAAAAAGCACAGAATTGCTTGTGTTATTGGTGTAATGCTGTACTTATTATTTTATTGTTACTCATAAATTAAAATTGTAATTCTCTCCAGAGAATCAAAGGAACTTGTGTCATTTTTAGATGCCTCACAGTTTCCTAAGGCTCGGGTTATTTCCTGGCTATTGTGCAACAATGTACAGGTCATGCCTGCTTTAACTACAAGCCACGTGCTGGACACATGCTACTTTAAGGGACCAAAGAAAAAAATCCCTGGGTGCCAGGTCAGAGTTATGAAGTATGAGGTGCTGGACCTTGAATAATAAAAACAAGAAACCATGCAGCTGGATATCACTGTCAGGTCACTGTCAATGAAAGGTCTCCTACCATAGTCTGACGTGTGACAGAAGTGCTTAGTGTTTGCCCACATTTACACAAGGCCAGCCAAATTCATAATAATGCTTTGCATAAACTCCGACAAGTTCCTGCTGGTTCATAAAGCAGCCTGCGCTGCACCACAGCTCAATCCTGCTTTGCATGGAACATGTGAATTTGCAGGTAAGATGCTAATTCAGTTCTTATTTCCAACACTTTGGAAGAGATGAGGACAAGCTCTAAATTGTGTTAGTCTTTCCACCAGCACCAGAAAGTTACTCGTTGATCTTAAAACAAAGGGGATTTGATTTTATGCATTTTCACAGAATCTGAAAACTTAATTTTCCATATAAGACACAGTACATGCCAAAAGTATTACTTTTTTAAATCATCACCATTCCTCTTCCTGATATTTGACAGTCAAATATCAGTGGTGTTTACAAGGAAAAGAAAATTCCTTGGAAACGCAAGACATTTAAAGGAGAGCCATGACAAAAAAAGCCAAAACCTAGCAAAAATAACACTATTAAAAGATTATTGCTAGAGACAGTCACATCGCCTGATGCAGCGTTTACACTAAAAAGGTTTCACTAAAAAAAACACATCTCAGTGAATTCAAGTCTATTCATCCTTCAAAGGTGATAAAGGGCTGGTAAAATATAGAATCTGTGACTAACTTGACCAATTCTGCCATTTCTCAAGTAAAATCACTTTTACAGCCCTAACATGCATTTGTCAGTGAAAAGTCTTGCAACAATAAAATCATCCATCTTTCATGACTTACACTACAGTCTAGCTCACAGTAAATACCCTTAAAACAATTAAACCCGTTGAACTGTACTTAACTGTACATGCTTGCCTCTCACTGTTTAGCAGCATAAAGCATGAAAAGTACAACAGTCAAAACACCTTCTTTGCTTAAATTATTAAAATAGTACACGGGAAGACCCAAATGAGCACTAACGTTAAAGGCGTAACTATTGTTTTTTTTTAATGATAGTATACTGATAGTAATTGTTCAAAGAATTTGATTTATTCTTTTTTGCATCTTTTCCAGAGACTTAAGGCATGACTGGTATAACAGTTTGAGGCCGTACGGTGTTAAATAGCCAATCCGTAGAATTCAGTCCATGAACTGTAACAGTATGAAAGTGAACCATGCAATCTTCCTAGAACTGGATTTTTTTTATAGCATTATACGCGTTCCTGTCAGGAGTAATCCCTTCATTACTCGCCCACCATGCAGCTTCTTGTGCTCTTATAGTTGAGCTCCACGATGTGTTCGAGCAGGAGGCGAGAGGACATCTTTACTGTTGCGCCTCACACATCAAAGTCAATCCTTTGTGCCAGCTCTCTTGTTTTAGCATATGAGCACAATGCTCATCATTATAATTAGCCATTCTTATCTTTGTTATTATTTTGGCTTAATGGCAAAACAGTTCGAACTTGTCAAACATCAGCCTAAATTCATCTCATTAGCTTCTGGATTGAATATCTTAATACCATCCATCTATTTTCTATAAGCTTTATCCAACACTGGGAGCCAGAGCCTATCCTGGCAAACAACAGGTGCCAAGCAGGATACACCATGGACGGGATACCACTCCAGGCCAACTATAAAATGACTTAACTCAATTACTTACAGGGTGCTAACATGCTTCCCAGATTCCTAATCACCGACGGTTTAAGTTTGTGAGCTAAACCTGCAGGACTTTTGCTCACAACAACCAGTGTTGCAGACTCAAGTTAATTTCAGCTCTTTTATCAGTGGAAAGATCATGGGATGGCTTGAAATTAAGCTAAACTGAATTAGAACTGCCTCAGATGCAGGAGTTTTCTTTTCAAGTTTATGCATAAACAGAAAATGAAATGGTGCTGGAATGCTATTTTTCAAACCATTCAAACTTTCCACATCTTTTTACAATACCAATGTATTAAAAATATCAACCCATATAACCCATATCCAGACATCAGAGTACTTCTCATATGATCCTTCCAAATTTCAAAATTCCCGTTCTCCTAGAAGAGGCTAACACTTGTAACCTAACTCTATTAAAATCATAAACAATAATTAGAAACATTAAAACGCCCATCTTTATGATGTTTCTGGAAATATGGCGAAATTTCAGTCCACACATTGCAACCTGTTACCCAATCTGTAGCAACCTTCTAATGCGAGCTTCCAAAGAAAGGCGAAACATCTTCCCAACCTACTACAAAGTGCACCTGCAAATATTTAAAACTTCTTTTCAGTAGAGAAAACGAGTCAATATGTTCTATGTGAAATCAATCCAATTCCGACAAAACATTTGAGCTTTTCATGAAATTCAATACGCAGCTATCAAATGGAGGAAAGATTTGAGAATTGTACATCAACATCTCAAATTGTTTTGGAGATATGGTCATTTAAAGAGGGCATTTACATGCAGACTTTCTTGAAGACAATGCAACGGTTTATCTAGACATGCTATACACAGCCTTGATGCCATTTTAAAGCTTGTGGATGTGATTTAAAAAATTCTGGCATATTGTTCTACTGACCCTAATATATGAAAACAGAAAACTAAAGAATATGATTTCTATATGATTGGAGGTGGGGGGATTAAGAGTCATCATTCTTCACATACAGGAAATACATATCACCTCCAATCCTGGCCATCATAATTCTATGCCAATAACCCAATTACCAATGATTAACAAAGAGGAAGAGAAGCACATTGCCAGTACATTCAGAAGACGGAGATGAAACTAGTTCTTGAGTATTAAACTCTCAATTATGAAAAAATCTCTTAAGCAGAAATACTTTCATCGTGACCTCTTTAAAACACACAAAGAAAGCTACTAGATATTTTGATAGCCATCTCAGCAATTTTGGTTCTAAATTTGTCATCAGCTCCTCTAGGAGCTAGACAGAGTATTTGTGAAACTTCAAGCATGCTTACTGCTAAACTGAGTGATGATGAAGACGCATTTAAGCCTTTCAAGTGACCCAGGGAAAGCAAGGACCATGACTATTTAGCTGATCAAGAAATTCAATAAATGCTGGTCTCTCATTTAGGAAACTCCAGCACAGTAGAGACATTTAGAAAGATCAGTAATATACAGCAAAATAAAAATGAAAGAGTAATGGCTGAGATCTGGACACAGATACAGTGGGTTAAAAGAGAAAATCCAAATTCTTACAACAAAAGGCAGGACTGGACAGGTAACAAAGGAAAATTCGGTGGACCTTATTTCATTGCTAGAACTAACTGCCAGTTCATTACAAAACCAAACTCTGGATGGACTATATGTCCAGATCTGACTTATACCTGTGTTCATGCGTTTAAAAACAAATTTAAAGACTGAGGGTTTTCACAAGTTTACGTCAGTCAAGACCAAGAGAATACATCCAACAGGATCTGCTCATTCATTCTTATATCGTAGATCTAATATCTCAGAGACCAGGTTTTAACATAACTTGAATATGATACAAGTAAAGCCTTACAAATATTAGATGTATACATTGCTGGTACATGTATTTGAGTTGAGGCTGAAAATAAAAATTTCAGTGAACTACTTAAAGCATATTCAAACAAACTGAGACAACAAATCCCTACCAATATGCCAATTTCCCTTTATTCCACTGTTCTATGCTTGTCTTGAACATTTAATTGTCTTCCAAACCAGATGTAATCTTTTAAAAATTAAAAACAAGAATTTAAAATCATATTAATTTTACACACATTTTGTTGTTTCCAGTTTGATAAAGTTTTTCAGCCATTGTAATTACAGTGCCAGAAAGCCTGTCTGAAATAGCCAGAGAGCAAACTTGCAAATCAGATTTTCAAATGACATTTAGCCAAGAATAAACCCAATATGACAAGTCATGTATATTGCAGTAAATTAGGGAAGTTAACAAAATCACCAGCCAGTATCTTTCTGTTCATAGTTTTGCTACCTAGACTAGCTATTCTGAATTCTTATTCTGATAGTACACAGCACACACTTGAACCTTCACTACTGCACCCCATTCTAAGATGGTATACATGTGGTCAAATGGATGCCTTTGCATTTTGCACTTAATTCACAAAAAGCAGAGGGCACCACTAAGCCTCATGGCTTACACTACAACCATTTTGGGGATTTTATTTGCTTTTGTTTGTAGTAAACAGCATCCACTGAGGATTACAGTAAAGATTCTCTTCAAAATGCTGCCTCCACTGAAGTCCGGGGACTCAACAGCGAAAATTTAAGAAGTCCAAAAATCTTCTAAACAATATTACAAAGGCTTAAATCAATAAATCATATGTAATATTGTATTGGAAACTTGTCTAGATTTAGTCATCTACCAGGCACCTGCTTAATCATTAACTCTAGATCACTTTTTAATACCTTTCCAGCTTCTATGATGTTGAAAAATAAAACCTAGGTAATTGGTATGAATTAGAAAAGGCAGTGGTCCCAACACAGGTCTCTGTGGTACTCCGCTGAAGTACACATCCACAAACAACTGATCTGTACAAGTTAATGGCTATAAAACAGTTCCAATTCAAATGCACACATTACTTTAAATGCCTTTAATTTCTTAATTAATCTTTTGTAAGAAACATTCAGAAGAGTACTGAAAAACCAAATACACCTAATTGTTTGCTCTGCCTATATCCATTGCTGATACTGCTTGTTCAAAGAATGCTTAGAGTAAATTAACCTTCTCTAAATTATTTTGAATAGTCCCAAGGGAACTATTTCTATATTGATGATATTATACCTCTAATTATCACTCTCATAACCCTACGTGCAAGAGAACACAAATTGGTCTATTGCTACTTTTTTAGAAGACTTTCTTAATGGACTGAAAATGGTATTTCTTGCTTCCTGATGTATGAATGAAGGGAAAAACTTTTTTCTCATTCAATTTACAGTGATTGAAAAAAACCTGAGAAAATTCATTAACCACATATACTATTTGAATCTCTGACAAAATGCCACATCTTCCTTTACACAAGACTTTGAATTCCTTATAAAATGCTGATCTATAATTTATTAAATTTATTATTTGTGATCCGTAGCATAATGCTTTTTATTGTTTTCATAAATCTGACTCATACAGATTTGATTCATCTAGTTTAAGTTGCTGTGCGTGAATATCTGTTGGTGAACAGAGCTAGACCTCCCCCTCGTCACTCCAGAACACAGAGCATCCGAAAGTGGTTTTCATCACCAGCTAAATTAACCATGTTTCTGTGATTCCGAATACATCATAATTATTTTATTTTGGGATTCTATCTGAACCCTTACGTCCTCTTTCTCTTTGTTCTCCTCACTTACATTCCAATTTAAAGGTGCCTGATTTTTTTTGTATCTTCCTGCCAAGAGTTTTCATCTTCTCTTCTCTGTAGCAGTTTCCAGTCACTGAACTCTTCAGCAAACTACACCCTCAGCCAAGTGTTGGTTTTCCAAGTTAACACTTATGATTCCAGAGAAGACCACGTATTCGATCCTTTTCTTCAGTTTGGTTTGCTAGTGAACAGAAGTGTGCTGTATATACCAATGTCATCTGTTCAAACCTAGACAAGGACAGGGTAGTCATCTGCTTTTGCTAGGAGGCTGTTACCTGTATGGACAATGCCAGCCACCCAGCCAGCTCCAGGGAGCAAGCACTCTGTGTTTTCAACCCATTAGTGCAGATGATCTCTTATTGAGTGTTGTTAAGTCTAGTTTCCAGCCACCACCTCTACTGTTTTTACATATTTTGTCCATGTCCATGCTTGGGAGCAGTAAAACAGCAGGAGGTATGTTATGTGATGGCTTGCATCATCTCAAACAATAAAAGGAATAGGTGTCCACGAACAGTATATTACTGTTGCCCCACCATTTGCATTTCAATACTCTCACTTAGGGATGCTAACGCCTCTAACTGTAATGTGCATTAACAAACCCTTCACTTTGTTGTTAGTGTGCCTTCCCTATAACACATCCAATAGAACCTCCAGCTGGAGTATTGTACCCTGCCTTCTGGGTAAGTCACCAACATACTTCCTACCTTCAACTTCTAGCCTTCAACTTGAAATGAAAGAAAAGAGTGATTACAAAGTCGAGGGTTATGACAAAGTAAGAGACCATGACTGGAACCAAAAACTGTCAATGAATATTTTCAAGGGATATTCTAAAATCCTCATTTATGTTTTATGAACATTTGTCACATAATTGAAGGAAAACTTTTCAGAGCATCTCTTGGAATCAACCAGTCTTTATGTTTAATTTCAAATTCATCTGAACCTTCGCTAGCCAAAGAGCATTTTTTTTACTTAAAGGATCACAGTGGAATCAAAGTATCATTAGACTTGTGCCTGTATTTTTTTCCAGTTTCTTATAAAACATTAACTTCTGTTGATGTGCACAAAATCATTTTAAATAAAGATGTTATCTGAATGCAAGTCTTGAAAAATAAAGGTGACAATACGAAGAGCATGAGGTTAGGTAAAAAATTAAAAGAAGTTAAATTAAAAAAAAATATTAAAAGCATTAAAAGCAAAAGGAAACATGCTACTTATAGACATGTGCAGAAACTTTTGCAACTGAACACTACCCCATTACAATATTGCTTCCTTGTATGAACATTTTAAAAATACTGCATTTAAAATTAAAACTGAATGCACTTTGCCTGGGATCGTTCTTCCCAAAAGAAACTATAGCAGACTACAGCTGGAAGAAATAAGTGATGTGACTGTATATGGAAAACATATAGCTTAGAGAAAACAAGGGAACGAAGGTTTGGTTGCATTGATAAGGCAGCAGGGCAGAGTTGGACTAAGATTTAGAGCTGACCTTGTCCTTTCATTCTGTGTTCAAGGATGGAAATGGGACACAGTATAATTTGAGATATCCCAGGCAATTTGAGAAATTTAGTATTTTTCTACTAGTCTGGCTCAAAGAGTTTATATTAACTTGAATATTAGTTGAGTTATAACTTCAGTAATAATACGTATGACTCAACAAACTTATATTAAAGTCTATACTCGCAACAGTACTAGCACTAACAGGAATAGTACTTTTCTTACTAGCTGGACAACTGTAATCTACCAAATATAATGAGTTTCTCACATTGCAAAAATGAAACTAGCACAATAAAGAAAATTCAGACACCTCGACATAAAATATCATTTGATCAAATAAACACAAAACAACAAAACAATCTAGAATGTGCAAGATGCTCTTCTCTCATTAGTAGCTTTATATTCTTATGTAATATTTGATCTTAACTTCTAAAGTGGAAAAACAATCGCCTGCAGTTTTATTTCGTTGGTAATTTCAGGTGTAACTCTACTTCCTCAAATCAATACTAGTGGCCAAGTTATGTGGTACTGAACTATCACAGTTCATTCCTATACAAAGATTATCTAAAGACATCAACCACGAAAGTCACAAACTCACCATAACACGCGAATGCGCCAGCCATTGCACGCTTTAATCGGTGGTTGGTTACACGTAAAAACCTGCGTTTGTCTAACTAGTTGCATTAACGCTCCCGTCGGCGCAGCCCCTGTCAAAACCATCTGACTGTGCAGCAAGAGCGAGCAGCGCTAGGAAAACAATAAGCCCCGCCCACCTGCCCTGTCCTCAACCCAGATTGGAGGAACAGCTCTCCAGCGGCGCCGCGGTTGGACGCCCCGCCTGTCCGTCACCGCATACGACGAACCAGACTCCCCTCAGAAGGCCCCCGAAGGGCAAAATAAGGAGCTTCTCGGCAACAGTGCCAAAACACCGAAGCACCGCAAACGCCACCACTTTACTAGGATTTCTGTATGTCCACTGCACGCTTTTCAATTTCCACAACAAAAACACACAAAACACCGCACCGATCTATGACGCCCTCCGTCGGCTGGAAGGCCCGGGCAATGGCCACGGACGTATCCGTTACTTGAACTCAACACAACACAACTGACAGCCCCGCTCAGCCTTCCATTTGTTTTCACCGCGGCCGCCGGCACGTTATCGGCACAGTGGTCCGGACAAAGTGGTCTGTATTAACCGGCAAGACGACTGTCTCCCACCTCGGAAAGCCGAAAGCATGTCATAAAACACCGACGCTCACTTCCTCAGTCCAGCAGGGCAAGCCGGAGCCTCTACAAGCCGCGATCACGGGCTTGAAACGCCCCCCAACAAAGCGGGGAGAGTTGGCGACACTGTAGCTGAAAAACTCGGGGGGGGCGGGGGGGAGGGAGTGGGTCCTACAAGCCGCCGGTGGCTCCACCTCTCCGCAGCCCGGGTCAGCCGGACGGGCAGCCGGAGTCTCGGCTGAACCGAGTCGCGCCCCCGTCCTACCGGCCCGACGCGAGTGACCCTTGTGCCGTCAAAAACAAAACGGCATTCCCGCTTGCGCCATTGCTGACACATCTCCCTCCCCTCTAAATAAACGTACACCTCTCGGCGCCGGGGCAAGAACGCACACTGCCCGGCGTCTACGGGGGACACTTCTCCCCCAAACTGTGAGTGGTGGTGAGGAGGAGGAGCGGCCGGGCTGACCCGAGACGTCTTTTAAAAAAAAAAAACATGCGTCACGAATTCCCGCTTTTCCAATCTTCAACGGGCGCTGCGTGAAGACAATACGAACTGCGGAGGAGAGCCGGGATGCCCGCCGGTCAGCGGGCAGCGGTGTCGGCGTCTCTTACCTGCCGTTGCCCAGCGCAGAGGAAGAGGAGAAAGAGGAGGAGAGGAGCGGCTGGTCTCCCGCTGCCGTTCCGAGCGCGAGCTCAGGAATCCGCCGCAGCAGCGTCACGTACTACAGACGCGCGAGACCGCTGCCAAGTCCTGTCCCGGGTTTCGGTCAGGCACCCGCGGCTCACGAGTCTGCCGCCATTCCGGCTCTGCCAAGCGGCAGCTGTTCTATTCTGCGCCGTACTTCCCCTCGATCCAAAATGGTCAACACAGTAGCGCAGTTTCACGCCCAGACCTGTTTTTCACCACCTCCCCACTCCCCGTCACCAGGCAACAAGGCGAACCGCGACCGCCCTCTCCTGTGAGGTTGTATTCATCCGCCTACGATTGCATCAGAACGCTAAGTAGTTCTTACGAAAGATTTTCTGGGTCGTAGTTGTGGAGCGAAGTCTGGGCGTGCTCTACCTGCGTGATGCATATTGTAGGCTAATTTTAGTAAGATAGCAGTCACGACATGAGACTGAACTAAGGAAACCGGAGCAGCCAGTTCTTTACGTAGAAACTGGCACGACATTAAAATATGTTTATAGTAGGAATGCATCCGTATCCTCCGGTTGTTTATTTATATCTCACACACTTAGCCGTGGAATAGGACTTGAGTGACGTGAATAGGTTGGGCATTTCCGGTAAACAATCAATAACCGAAAGAAAGTCGTAAAATAGTATTGCCCGTCACTGCAGTATATGATAGAACACACAATGTAACCCACACTGTTGTACGTGTATTGTAATGACTGCAGTGATACAATCACGGCTCCTGTGTTTAGGTATGTCTTGTCCGTTTGAACAGAAAACAGACTGCTTTCTAACCCTCCGATTCCCTACAGACACAAATATGTAACCGATATTATACATTGAAATACATCGCATTTTAAAAATTAAATCTGAATGAGGGTATCACAAATGTTTCCTAAGGTCCGAGTGTTCACATTTATCCACTGGGTCCCTTTCAATATCGACCTCTCTCAAAGATGTGATCAGGATTTTAATCAATTTATCAATTTATGTTTCCACCAGGTGTTTTTTCTTCGTTAGTCTTATGTGATATCACTAGATTTAGTATACGAATGATAAATATATACCAATATGTAATATACAAATAGTTATATGACCAGATTCGGAAAAAAAACGAGAATGCCAACTGAAAGCTAGCAAAGAAACAAGTAAAGGTTAATTCCATGTTGAAAAGAGAAGAAAAGAAACAACGATTCGGGCTGTGGAGTTTTCTCTGAAAGGTAGCTAAGGACGTGAATATGAGCGTTCAACTGTTGTGCGACCATTTTCATGCAAATACTTTGCTGAAACCCATTCTGTTAACACAGCGTCCTCTGTGTACTCGCACGCACCTACAGCAGAGTAATAGATATGTAGTTCTGCCCGATCAGTGCTCAAAATGTCAGTATGTTAAAACCAGTGACATCGTTTTTCATGCTTAGTTTCCCCCCAATATTTCATTGCGTTGCGGGGCTGGTGAAACCTGCATGTCGATTTCAAAACTCGATTGTCTGATCGTTAAAAGCAATTTAGGTTCAACCCGTTTGCGCGCTTAAGGTCATTGTCATGTTAAGTTAAAACAAGCAAGTGCTGTACCAGCTGTTTGATTTATCTCCTGAATGATTTTGAATTTAAAAGCACGCTACACTGTCAGTCTTTACATTTGTAAAATCCTTTGTTGAGATTTTTAAAGTGGGATGGGCTGTTTAGGATCTAAACATTACATGACTACCAGGTAACAAGGTCGGCTACGCAAAGAGATTTGAACGTGTCATGGAAAGGCAGGCATAAAGGAATTAATGTTAGAAAGATATTTTGATTTAGATGTGATAATGAGGGGAAATGTACATAAAAACATAAGAGGTAAGACACGAAGAAGGAGGCCCGTTTGGCGGTTTGTAGCTAAGTCTCCCAGGGATGACCCAAGGATAAATATTCCTGCCGTGTCTTGAAAGAAACCAGGGTATTGCCTGCAACAACATGACTGGGTAATTTGTTCCATGCTCCCACAACCCTCTGGGTAAAGAAGACTTTTCCTGTTCTCAGTTCTAAATGCATTTCCATAGTTTCAACCTGTGTGCCCTGGTTCCGGTTTCACTTTTGGAGTCCAGTGTGATGACATTTTCAATGCCTTTAAGGATTTTAAATATTTGGGTCAGGTCCCCATTTTGCTAATCGTTCTACTTCGGCGTTATCTGCCATCATCACTAATTTACAGATTATAGCAGAATCTACATTACTGTCTTTGAACAGCAGTGTTCACAATGCAGGTCCGTACGGGTATAGTGTTGTCTCGCCGCACACACGACACTTCTGTGTTGATGTCCCATGTTCAGAGCTGCCTTTGATGTGCTGTCTCGGAAATGTACAATTTCGTACGATTGAATACTCTGTTGTTGGTTAAATGTTAATGTTTCAAATTTATGAAATATATAATTAAACTAAATTGATCACTTTTAAATTGCCCCTTTTAGCGGCGAAAAAAAAAACACCTGAATTATTACACATTTGATAAGACGAATATTGATGGCAAATTACAACACGCAACAAAAACAAATGAGTTAGCTTACGTGACAGCGATCTGCTTTTCGGTTTGTCTGCTGTAATCGGAAGATAAATTGCAAAGAAGCAAGTTAACTCTCAGAAGATAATGGCAACTTTGGCGCGTTTGCGACTAAAAATGATAAAACAATCGAAATTTAATAACTTGTTGCATTCACATATATTTTAGATTGAAGTCAATGTTTGATCAATGAAATTAAAAAATGCTATATGATAAATATCATTAAACTGTTCATTCAGTCTAAATGCCTACTTTATCATGCACTGCAGTTAGAGAACAATATTAATCTATGCAAATCCTGTAACGCCTAATGTTAGATTTATAGCATTTTGTTATACCTAAATACAGTGAAAATAAGACATTTAACAAAGGTTTTTTTGTGTGTTTTGGACTATGAGGTCTGTAATAGTTCAATAGGAAAACAATTTATAACATTTTCCTTGCCTATTAATTGATTCTTTTGTTACATCAAAGATGCAAATAACGTGTCATCATGAACACACATTTCTTTCATGAGTAGCCTCTTCATACTAGGTAGTTTCTATATTGTATTTATAGTTTTTGAGAATCTGTACTTATTCACATTACATCACATCTGCCAGGTGTCTGTCCAGACTGGAACTCTGTTTTTTTAAATATTTGCCATTTGCACATTCTTTCCTAATCCTCCTATTTAAGTATTGCTTATAAACCTGACTTGTTTAGCAGCTACACCAGAATCTAGATACAAATTAGGAAAAGTAAAAGTCCTAACTAATTTCATGACCCCAGTATGAACATTAATCCCTTAACTCAGTCAATGTGTAATTTAATTTACATAATGTGTCATGGAAACATTATGAGTTATGGAGTCTGTTGGATGAATGGTTAAGCACTGATAGCATTAAATGACAGTCATTAAATAAAATACCTTTGTTCCAGATTTTGTATAGATTGATATGTATTCAGAAATACCCGCACTAAGTTTACCGTTGCTTTTAACTTTTCTATTTGAAGTGAACACAAATCGGCAAGCTATTCTCATTGTAATAGCACTCAATTCACAATAACAAATATTGTGCTACAACATGCAATGCCAGTATAGTTCTTTTTCAGAACTGTGCACATTGTGCAGTGGTTGTGTTTGCACGCCAGCACGTGAGCGGAGGCTGGCAAGTTACACCGGTAGTAGTGACATGTACAAGATGGAGTGGGTGGGAGTGCTTCTCTGTGGAAATAAGGGCTTTGGCTTGCAGTGTCTGACAGAAGGCATCCCCGATGCGATTCCCTCCTCGCAGGGAGATTCCTGTAGGAGTAGGAGTCTAAGGGTGACTGTTGCAAATGGTGCACCAAGGTTCAAGCATTCATTCATGCTCTTAGGTTCACGATTTTCTCTCTCATTCACTTTGTCTGTAGCACAGCTTGCCTTGGATGCCGAAAACACCATGCAAATCCATAGAAACAACCACTTTCAATACTATTACTCCAACAATATTATTATGTGTGGTTGCCTGATTAGATGTTTTTTTGTTCAAATGTTTGCATTACATGTTTTAAACTTTACCTTTTTGATGGCATAACAAAACCTATTAGGGAAATTGCCACATAAATCACAATATTATGTGTTTATCACATGAGTGGCTACATACAGTTGTTTAACATGAGTGAGAGAATATTATCGTGCTTCGGCTGTACTGTTGCACGCTTTGAGAGTCGAGGATCACAAAATACAA